TTGTTGTTTGTTATGATTACAGTCTCATTTGAATTACAATGGTATACTGTATCTGGTTGAGTTTTAGAGTTTACTTTTTCTTTCAAACCAGTATCTTTTAAAATTGGACTTTTCAATATGGTACAATCTGTATTCTGATGTACTGTACCTTTGACATTGCTTCCTTTGTATTTATGACTACGTTTGTTGTCTTTTCTCATTATAGGGTACAGAGCTACTGTACTGCACGTGCTATTTACATCACTGTCATAATTCAGCACTATAACTTGGTTTTTTTTGGATCTTGATTTGTTTTCAGCAAGATTTTTGTTGCTTGTTTTTTGCTGAACTTTATCAGAATGCTCGACTGTGGTATGTTGTTTAGTTGATACAGGAATTTCAAATATGATAGGATGTTTGACTGGTCTTTCATGCTTCTGTACTTCTTTCTTTGCAACTTCTACGCTCAACCGATTATCTTTTACATTTGTAGAAATGGCTGCAGAATTATCAGTAACTTTCTTAATAAGATTGACCTCTGTTAATTTACTCAAAGTCAATAAAAGTTCTTCATTGTTTTCCATATTATTATCGTATTTAATGTTATTATTATTTTGAGCCATAGCAGCAGAAATATCATTTTTTCCAGATGATACATTATTGGTCAATCTATTTGTTTCATTTGGTATAAGTTTCTCTGATAAACTTTCAGATGGATTGAAATTATTAACATTGTGTTCACCTGATGTATTGACATAAACCTCCTCACAATTATATTTTACATTATTTTGAAAATAACAATTTACAATATCATTTTGATGTTCACTGAGCTCTTCTTTCAATTTATTAATGATACAACCTATAATAAACACTAAGTTTTCAGCATCATAATGTGACATTACTTTATCCTTTAAATACTTCAGTTGCAAATGGTTTACTTGTTGCTTAAACTTTGAAAGCTTATTTTTTAATTCTTCTATTACTTTCATAATGCAAGGCTTAAAATTTTGAACGGTTTGTAGTTCTGTTTGTTCTTTTAGAAACCTTGTCTCATACTCATGTACATTACTTCTGCTACTACATGCTCCTTGACTTTCTTTCATAACTTCAGCTTGACTGTCTTTTATAACTGCAATTTGATTCTTTTTTATATGAGATTTTTCATTACTCAATAAATCATTAAGTTTTTGATTAATCTGTTTTAAAAGTTCAGGTATATTCTCCTGTAAATCAGATCTTGTATTTGTCTTTTTATTATTAATGTAATCCATATTAACATTATTTAACTCTTTCACTGCAAGTAAATTTACTTTTGAGGAAATGTTCCTCAGACATTTATTAATAACTTCATATTTGCATTTGTTACGCTTGACATTGTTTTCTGATTCTGTTATATTGGTTCCTTCTACACGTGACCTTTTCATGGGTGAAATAAAATCCTCTGAACCACTGCTACAATCATGTAACAGAGTTTTGTGTTTATATTTTCTAAAACAAAACATGTATTCTTAACATTAAATTAGACTTAGAAAACAGAATTAAAAAACAAGAAACGTCAATTTATTATCATTAGATGGCAAATCTTTTTGCAGTCACATTTTATTACAATAATTTTCAAATACAGAAACTAATAAAAAATATCAGCTTCTTATAGATTAGAATAAGTGCACCATAACATAAAAGTATTATTAAACTTTCTTGTAAATTTTTGTTATCGTACTTTACAAATTTATAAATAACACAAACGTATGAAATTCACAGTTCGATTATTATAAAACTGAATTTCGTAATGACATTTAAAAGTACGTATATAATTTAAAGTCAGGGTAATATAAAAAGCGATTGTTATTGAAACGTAATAAATTTACAATTCTATGACTTGGAGTTGGAAGCCATCATGTTCAAAACAGAATAAATACTCAAAACTTTCATTAATAACTAACACGACTCTTGTGTCTCAAAAATCCTGCATTAACACTTTTATTTAAATGCACACAATTTAAACAAACGTACTTTATAAAAATACAGATAACTGTCTGGCGCTAAACAGCGCCAGCAGCTTTAGGGGGTACATAGAGGAGACTCTCCTCTATCGCAGTATGATGGTGTTGCGTATTCGCAACTGGTAATATTTAGAATCAAGCGCCATCTGTTCAGAATTTTAGGAATAAGTACATGTAACTACACTGTCATCTGTAGGCGCAGATTGAAATTAGGCGCGGCAAATATGAATTGTAGAACAGCGTAACTGAGGCAATGAATCAGGGTATTAGATAACTAATTATTGATTAAATGTCAAAATGATAACATTGATGACTAGAAATTACTCGTATTTGATATTTACTTTTGGTTGTCATGAGGAAACATTGCCAAGGTATTAAAAACGCTCGTTCCCCGTAATGATTAGACCCAATAGGAATAAAGTAAAATTATTTATTAATTCCTAATTGGATGTTAAATAATTGTATTTTGTTAAAAGCTGAAGGTACACGTTCTTTTTGTTCAACGAGGATTTTATTGCCATTTTGACTGCTTCTTAATCGAGTACTCAAACTGTTCGGACGTACTTTTCTAAATAGCGGAAAAGCACAAATAACTTTAATTTATTGTTAATTCAAGTTCATTGTTCATTTCATAATTTTGTTAACAAGTTCAAATACAAGTTCCTGAGTTTTATTTCATTTATCGAGTATTTATTGAAGCTATCTCGAGCAGAGCGTATCAGCACTCCACGGGGACCCGAACCCTGCCTAAATTCTCAATTACAAAATCTTTATAAAACGGCCACGCAACAATGGTATACCTAGTAGCGCCACTGCGCCACTTCGTGTCGGTTCCTTTGTGTGGTGTCCGAGGGTTATTAGAGCAGAGCACGAAATCCGTCCCCGATTTTGATTGGTGCCGCCACTTTTAGGCCAAAGGTGTTATGGCGGTGTAGCATAATGGTATGTATACCGACGAGCAAACTCGGCTTCCGCTAGGGGAAAAAGCGGCGTAGTATAAAAGTTTCTTACTACGTGGTCAATTTATTCCAGGTACTGAAATTAATGTTAATCGAATATTAATTTGGCATAAATTTCAGTAATTCCAAATACCAACAGGTAGTAGCCTGGTAGGAGGCCCTTCTCCTGCGTCAACTTTTTCCCCTAACGGAACGGAAGCCGAGTTTGCTCGCGAGGGTACAATGGCTGCGTTCAGAAGACAACCGTTGAGTCCATCGTTGCGAACTGATCAATGATCAGTTTTTATGTTCTGCTGAATAGCGTGATGTAGTGATGGGCACCATCGACTAAAAACTATCGACTAAGTCGATAGTAACCAACGACTACTTTCAGTCCACTAATTTTTTCAATCGTCGACTAATATGAGCCGCTTGAAGCAACTACTTCAGTCGATTAAATTTAGTCGCTTCAAGCGACTCGCTTGAACTATCGAGCTATTGATCGCTATTCACTGGATCTTGATTATTTTCTTCATGATGCAAACCAATTGCAATTTTTTCATATATTTTTTTATGCATTACCAAGATCTGTACAAATTATTCCTTATAACCTAATTGATTCACATAAAAAATTTAGAACAGTTAATTTTTTAAGTGCCAATAGTAAATAGCTTACAAAAAATCGAATATTAGTAATTGTTTAAAAAAACTTGTTTACCACTTATATTTTTGAAATTCTATCTATGAACTAATACATTTCTAGAAGGTAAATACACCAATGGTGCTGCAAAGTTGACGACATAATCTATACATAACCTATAAAGCAAAATTTCAGTCGACTACAAACTATCGACTAAATAGTCGATAGTATGTTGCGACTAAATAGTCATTATTCGATAGTTTAATTTAGTCGATGGTGCCCATCACTAGCGTGATGGTACCATCATAGTAGTGCTGACTCATTGTTTACAAAATATTATATTAAAAATTATGGATGCATCCGATATTACTCTAACAATTGGTTTTGAGTAGGAATTAGATTTAAATTTAATTAAAACGTTAGTTGATAACTTGAAGAAACCAATAAAGAACGATTTACAAGTAACAACTGAACACGGAGTTAGAGCGAGAATTGAAAATTATGTGGAAGAAATAATTCCGTTATATTCTAATAATTTATTTAAGGAACATTTTCGAATGTCCTACGGTTCAGGGACGACGCGTGGCGGAAGGATCCCCTGGCCACGGAGATTCCTTCCGCCCTGTGAGGTGTTCCAGCCTTAAGGCAGGTCAACACTTGTGCAAGAAACTTGATTTTAAATTTAAGTTTCTCGAAAACGAAGCTCTATACGAAAAAATGTTATTTTACATTTGTGATTTGTTTTTATACACTACACTACACTAATCTAAATATTGTGAACCTTGTTTTCTCAATAAAATTTTATATGCACACCGTCACGTTTCATAATAAAATATAATTTCCTCAAAAATGCAAAATTCTGTTAAATGCAATGAAATTATATTGTGAAATAGAGTTTCCTTTATTTTTAAATTCATGGTACGGTTGACCCTTCAATAAATAAGAAAAATTAATTTGTAATACCTTGTCATTACAATTTATGGTCCACTTTAGATATATAACTTCTATTGACAATACGTTATTATTGATCTACAGTAAATACGTCGAAAATCTGGCGAATTGTCATGACAAATACCCTACACATATAGTCGACATATACTGTTAATTAGTGGTACCATAAGTTGGGGTAACTTTGACTTACAATTAGTCACGGTAACTTTGTTCTGAAGTCAGAAAATGTTCATTTCCGATATTGCAACTCTGTAAATTGTTACATTAAGTTGGTTTTTACGTAAAAAATTCGTTCACGTAACATACCTGCAAAAGAGCTACAAAATCGAAAATGATCATTTTCTGACTTCACGACAAAGTTACTCTAAAATTACAGTGGCCTTTGTGGCATAAAATTCATCAACTTGCAGTTATAAAGTTTGTCCACATTACAAACTGACAAAATAAAATTCTTTTTAAATAGCATAATTATTTTATGCCTTCCAACAGGTCTTTCGAGAATTAATGAAAAGCATCCAAGCAGTCGAAGGCAGACCACCCTCACCCACGTCTGCACCCTCGCAACCCCTGCGATCACACTCCCACGACACTGGGGAAAAGTGTATTCTTCTCTGACATTGAAATCAAAGAATCAGCATACTCGACTTCTGCGACAATATTATCAGAAGAAACTGCTTTTTTTCTTATTGCGATGCAGGGTCGTAGTTAAATCAAGGGGAAAAGTGGAGCATAGACAACAGGAGGATTTTCTCAAGAAATTCGGATGATCCGTTATGTTGAAGCTGAACTTCACTGACGATCCTAAAGGGAGTACTCCCAGCACTTATTTTCCAGCTTATAAACCAAAGTGCAACCAATGAACCGTCTTTCTGGTTCATCGTATAAAACACAATTATTGTGATTATTCGAAATGAAAGGTGTGTTTATTTCTTATTACCGTAAATAATTATAGACTTAATATATTTTTGTCGTATCACAATCGTAATACTGAAAACAAATCAATGCCAATTAGAAGAAATATTTGTATGGTTATCGTGTTTCTGGTTAGAGATTATAATTTATTCACTTCTCGCAGAGGTAATCGTGATTGTTACAATTTTTCTCAAACACTTTTTATAGTTCACAAGCAACAGTATTAATAATGAATAATGAGATGTAAAACCGAATGTTCATTGCGAATTGAGAATTTCTGAACCTTACACACTTATTCACGAATATGACCCAACAAAACTGCTCATCGTATAATTTTAACATTGAATGATACAATCGTCTTGCACAATTACAATCGCTCGTTCGTGTGAAAAGTAACGAGCTGATTCGTATGTACTTCAAATTTACTGCCGTATCACTTTATATGTACGTACAATTTCGTTTACCGTTTTACTTTCATAATTCGCTCTGTAAATATATCGTGTAATTTTACCTTCTATACAGGGTGACGTATTTTACTCTATAAAAATGATTATGTATTTCGAATATATCAATTTGAATACATACGCCTGTGGAAATTTTTTCCGAAAAATTTTACTGATTTTGTCTAAAGTTTTTTCATTTTATACACATTTAGTTTTCTTTAATCAAATATATGACATTAACGGCAAACTAATTTATGGGTTAAAATCACAGTTCTGTACTTATAGTTCGTAAAAAAAAAAAGTAATGAGACTGTAAAGGAAAAGCGGTATATAGGACAATATACGTAATGAAAATACATTAGAAATTTCATTTAAACTTTAAGAGCGATGTAGTATTCCATTTTGATGTCCTAATTTATTTATAGTTTATTGTTAAAATATCATTCTAGTGTAGGATCTTCGATGTCTGGTGATCATTTGCACAACTGTAATAACGTTGCATAATTTCACTTGAATATTTACCAAGTAAAGAATGTTACAAACTATCTACGCACAAAAGAACCTAGCTTTTGACCTGACAAGAGATATAATTCTCAACAGAAACTACAAAGAAACAGTATTAATTTATAAACGATTCTTCCAAAATCAGCGACACTTCCCTATTCATGCATTGAAGTCACCTACCCAACGTTCACATTAATAAGTACACAAGATTCTTAACCCTGTTACGGTCCTCAGTCCAGCTATATGTTCGAAATAATTATGAGGAACGAGAAACGCAGAGATCAGTAACAGTTTCCTTACACAAGACACGAAGCTAACAACATTTCTGAAGAGACGAGATTAAAATTAAGTCGTAACAGCGTTCAAGAAATAAAAATCTGATTGAGTTGAAATAGACCCAATGACCGATAGCAGGGTTAATGTTATCATACGATAAAAATGAAAATATCTTTTGAATTATTCTAAATTTACCGTCACGTTACTTTTTACGTACCTTACAAGAAATAGAAGGTATTCGTACAAATACAAACAAAATTCCGTTCTCATTCGTTCCGTTATTCGTGATATATTACCCATTTGTATACATTATTTATGTTCATTGTTTTGGTATTCTACTTCAAGTATGCGAAGCAATTGTACACCTTTTTCGTTTATTTTCCAGCAATGCATTCGGCCTAATAATACTGGTAATAAAATAATAAAAATATATATATAATAACTATAATAATAATAGCGAACAAATAAATGTAATAATAGCGTGTTATTGAGAGTTACCTCAGATCAAGCAATAGCGTATAAATATACATACATATATTTTACTATACTGTTAAGGAATTAATCAATAGTCTGTAAGTGTAGCTGTTGATATTATGAAACATTGTACATGTGCACTATCGGCTACGAGGTACAAAAAGGGCGACCGTTTATGTTGAATCCATTGAATATATTAATTAAGAAGATGTGTACTAATAATACGAATTTTAATTATAACCATTAACAATTACGTGCTGCAGCTGTCTCCTTGGCATTATTACAGATATAGATTATTTTTCATGCAACCTGAAAATTATCTATTATTTTTAGTAAACTTTCTACAGGTTAAGAGTTTTTTTGCCATGTAAAACTTACGAACAATGTAACATTTATAGTTAACATTGTTAAGTTGTGGAAACACTTAAATCTCTTTAACTTTCAAAAGGCTTAGAAAAATCAGTAAGAAAATCAAATATTACGTTTATTTATACACTCTATTTCTGTAATTCTAAACTGTTAAATATGAAATTATGTCATTAGCGTCCTAACATAGCCGGTTGTGAACAAATGCGTATGCATGTCTATAACGTGTACGTTACGGTTGTTATTGTTTATACCTATTTTAAGCGAAAGGCAATATTTTCGGCATAATAACTCTACTCCCATCTATGTTGACAGAGTAGAGGTCAAGCAATGGATTGTTGAACGATTCTCTGACGAATTTTCTGTTAAACCGATTCGACGCAATAACCGACCGTTTGTTTCTTCCATAAAATCGTTGTGTTATTGCACACGTAGGTGATGCAAAAATATACGTAAATGTTGAATATAGCGTAAATCGGGATTAGAGCGTAATTACGTAATATATACAAACATGTGTTCGTTGGGAAATCTTTGTACCGAAATAGGTAGAATCTAGTAAGTGCTAACTTTCGACGCGATTTGTACAGCTATCGAGTGTCGAGTAAGCGTCGTTTTACATACAAAATGGTACTATCCATTATTTTGTATGCAGAAATAACGCAATAATAATAAAAAAAAACGAAACGACGTATAGATTGTTCTGTGTACCTTATTTAAACCACTGCTTCTGTTTCGACAATATAACAAAGTGAAACTAAACTCGTAGGTTGGTAACCATTTCGTTAATACCGATTACGTACTTATTAACAAAGATGGGCAAATTCATTGTCTAGATAAAAAATTTCGAATAACGAATAAAAGATAAAAAAAAGTATTTCGTCATTTTTAATTGTTTAAACGTGGAATTTTCAATTTTTATAATAAAATAATCCTTCTTTATGAATGAATCGACATTTGTCGAAGAAGTATTTAATCTCATTAACTGTTTAAAGCTCAGAACGACACCCGTAGATACTGCTGCTTTTCACTGTGTATTATTCGAACAAAATTCTGCCCAACTCTGCTTATTAATAATCTCGAAAAGAAAAATAGGATTAGGAGTGTTAAAAAGAATATTCAAATATGCTTTTACCAGTCAACCAAACCTGCAAAGCCAAATTTTGTCCAATGCCTGTTATAAAGTTATGGCTACAAGTTTTATGCAAGATTTGCTATGAACACCTTGCGCACACATTGGCAGCAACATATGCAGTAAGTTGGCTTGCGCAAACCTTGTTCTGGTTTTGCCCTCAATTTGACATACGTCATATTGCCAAGCTATTTTGCCAATTTGCTTTACCATTTTGTCAGCTCAAGTCAAATGCAGAAACAAATGGCTATGGTTTTTTAGACAACTTTTGTCATTTATTGCTGGCAATTTGTTCGAAACTCGTACATAACTGGTTATTAGGGTTGTACTTAGACTTCATTTTAATTATCGACACGTGGTGCACTTTACGAATGGTTGATAGTTCACCGTGTATTTTGTCAACTTTTGGATATACAAAAATGGAGACGTGTCGTCGTCATAATTACCTTAATTATTTTCATCTCGGCACTATTTAAAACTTTTATTGCAATTGTTCATTCTCTCATCTGTAAGAAGTAATGACTAAATTGAGCAACTGCACGTGCAAGTTGCGTGACGCAACAATAAAACGCAACTTGTTCACAAGGGAACTTCCGAAAATCAAAAAATGCCAACTTGTTTTTAAAACTTGCAGGTTTGTAAGGGACCACAATAAAAGTATCGAGCAATTTTTTTCGCTACCTTTTATTCTACAGAGTGAAAACATCCCTTAAAGGTTAATGTGTGTCTTTCTAATTTCTTGAATATCTAGAAAACTATGATAGTTGTACAAAAACTGTTACAGTTAAATTTAGTGGCGTGTTATGCTGTATAAAACTGTGCATTAAAATTGTTAAAATATTGTTTATTTATTTAAACAATAAATTCAGTGATTTATATTAACAACAATTATCTATAAAAATTAGTGTCAACATTATTTAAACATTCTTAAAAAAATTTACGGAAAAAAGGATATTTGTAATGTCATATTCGAGGAGACAGTCAAAGGAACAAAAGAAAATCTTCACATGGATATGTCAAAAGTCTCATCATGATTTGATTTTGCCCATTTTCTCTAGGAGCCGAGCAATGCCTAAATTTTATGCTTTATTTTTCACAAATACTGAAGTAAAAATAGAAATAAAAATGTGATTATACCGGTTCAAATTTAATACACGATATAATGTTTCGTTTCTGTGGAAATTTTAAGGATCCATCTTTGAAAGCTGCCCCTTCCACGTATTGATATATCGCAGAAAAATGTGCCGGATTTGGGGAGGATGGACGAACACGCAGACGTTGATTGTAATGTGTACGCGGCAGAGCAGCAATAGTAATTTCGGAGGACGGCGACATGTATTGACGGTTGGAATCAATTTACCGATGTACGAGGTTACTCGCAGCCAATTTGATTTTCGAAATCATAACCAAAACTGATAAAAGCAATTTATACTTTTATTTGAAACTCACTTTAATTGTTACTTTTGTTTAAAATGAAAGTATGACAATTTCAAATTCTCAACTCTCGTTGTCCACGAAAAAGTATTTCGCAATTTATAAAACATTTACAAAATTAAATGTCGCAATCTATGTCATGTAAAACAGTGATCAAATGTCCTACGAATTTCCTTTAAAGTTACATTCTCCTACTAACTTTTCTCACATTGAACAATTTATGTGTATGCAGGAAAATTCCTATTTATTAGATGAAGCTGGATCACTTCTAGAAAAAACTAAACGTACTATCATTGAGAATAATTTCTTTTAATAAAATTTAAAAATTGCAACTTTGAATAAAGTCTGATCTATTTGTCGAAACAAAATTTGGAGACTAGTTAAAATGAATATACTGCAGTTTATTATATAGCAAATATTTCTTATTTTATTTACGATTAAATCAGTGACGGATACAGTTAGTACTTAATATACTTAATTTCATTATAAAAAAGTTATATTATTGTTTTACAGAAAGTACGTATGTATTAGTATATAATACTTCTATCGCGCTATAATTCTTTTGGTGAGAATAGAATGTTACGTATATGTTTATAAAGGCTATGCCTTCAAAATGACAAATACTGCTAAACAATGTAAGAATTCATGAAATTAAGGTAAGCAGAACGAGAAATACTCCCAGTATAAGCACAAATTTGAAGGAAGCCCTTTGGGAAAAGATTCCCGTTCACTACGACCTATTACGGAATTTTCGCGAACGGTACGGCTCCACCGTAGTCAGTCACGTCACCGTGGAAAACATATACCAGGGATTGAATGGCGTGAACACTATGGTTAGAGAAACATCAGAAACTGATCCAAAACATGGTGTAAGTGTCACTGTTGCAAATATAATTTGTAATACAATTTAAAAGAGAAATAGCACATTTAATAAACGTATTATTTAATAATTATTGGACTCTATATTTAATTCATTCATGCAACACACAAATGTACAAACGTCAGTGAAAAAGAAATATTTATAAACAGTCATTTTTGAAGATTGTAAAAAATTAGCGTTAATAAATATCAGTCGACTTTAGATTAGATATTGTATATAACTGATTAATTTTATTTACGTCTTCCTGTTAAAAAAAAAAACGATGGATCATATATCAATATAATAAACAAACACATTGTACGTAAAATTACAATTTATCGTAATAATTTATTAAATTTCACTCACTCTAACGATCTTGAAACGATTGATCGGTCAAGTAAAACGCATGATTAACCCTCTGTAGGCAAAAATATTTTTTCACAATCCGTACGCAAATTGGGTTGTTTATGTCCAAGCCAATTTTTTTACTGTTTCAGCCTTTCCTAAAAAATCTGAAAGAATTCTAGAATATATTCATATCCAAATCTTTACTACATTATACAATCGTTCGTCAAGTCAAATGTTTAAAACTTTTTTCAATAAAAATAAACATTCGGAGGAAAGTTCAGAAAAAAGGGGAATTCGCTTGGGTGGTCAACGATCCACATTGTCTAAGGAAAGATTAATTTGTAGTATAGAGGAAATTCTCCGAAAATAATTATATTGTTTTCCTACAGATCAAGTATAGGGGATTGACGCTACCGGAAGTTGTTACTCTTTTACCGCGTCAAGGGAAGTCGCCCAGCGCGGAAGCTGTATTTTGGTTGTTACTTACCGGCGACGTTCCAACACAGGAACAAACCGCCTCGTTAATCGCTGACTGGTCGGTACGACGTCAAAGAAGGAAATATTGGTGGTCCGGGCCAGGTGGTGGAATTGTTGGTTCCGTTCTTCAAACTCTTCCGAAAACAACTACACCTCTGGGAAAATTATCAGTGGCCCTCGCGATCTTCGACTCCACCAAACATCTGAAAGAGGCATTGAAAAATCGAGCTTCGAGTCATACATACTGGGAAGTAAGTGGAGGAACAACGAGTATATTAAAATGCTGTCATGAACCAATATGTTTAAAATTCCTCTAGGAGTTATAAGTAGGAATTTCTTTTTTCAAGGCCTCTCAGATGCTATAAAATAGTGCCAGTACTTACAGACACCATATTTAGCTATTTGAATAAACAAATAAAAAACATCATTTTTGAACAGTCTTCAAATACCTACGATAAAAGTCGCATCAAACAAAATACGATAACATAATTCAGGATTTAAAGGGCTAAAGATGAAAGAGCCTTATGACTATTTTCCACCTTGATGTATTTTGGATGTATGTAAAAGTAATGACTGTTTGTCTGTTGAAAATATTGGTAATTATTTGGAAGTGTGACTTCCTCACTGGTTTCAAAGACCTTGAAATATGTTGTCAAGGTCATCATTCTGAATAATTTTTCCCTATACACTGTTACAGCGAGTTTACTTATTCATATCTAAAAAAGATAGAAAAAAGTTTCTTCGTCGTGTGTGTACTTTTGTGTCGTAGGATTTTGGGTGCGTGGTTAACACTGGATAGTGTGCGGTGGAATGTTGGTTGCGTGGTAGCGTTGGCTACGTGCTGCGATTGGCAGCCAACGCTACCGCGGGAACTCGGCTGGCAGACTCGCGCTCTGATTGGTCGGGGTTTTTCGTTAATATCTCGTTAACAAAGCATCAGATAACATTTTTGCTACGGAAGAACTTGTTTCAAATTACCTCACGAGTCTTCCATTTCCGGGTCCTCCCACATTTTTGTTACACCCTGTATAAGACATAATACTATAATTTAGTACTAGTACTTACTTATATTAGGAGGATAGTTTAAATACAGTTGACATTTATAGATCCGATTATTTTTGTTTTAAGTACACGTATGAGGATAGTATGGAATTGATTGCCACGTTGCCGGCAATAGTCGGGCTGATCGCAAAAGGTAGCGGATTAAAAGAAGTGAAAGAAGACGGTGACTGGGTACAGTTTCTAATGGAATGTTTAAGCGACGCATACGGCATTTCGGAAAGTCAGAAGAAGTCAATGACGGACTTTCTCCGATTATATGTTACTTTGAATGCGTAAGTAATTTACATTTTCCTTGTCTTTGCATACACCGTAATTCCCAGTATTGAAACACTAGTCTTTAATTTAAACATTTATATATTCCCATTTAAATTTTTTATCTTAATGTATTGAGTCATGTATAGATTTTAAAAAGACGTTTATTTATTACATACAATTTCTAGAAATGATTGTACAAAATTTTATTTTTCTAGGGACGAAGATGGAGGTTCTCCTGCTGTTCATGTAACAGAAATACTTGGAGCCACTCAATTGGCTGTTAACCATGCTCTAGCTGCTGGGGTTTTGGCATACGCTGACGAACCAAGAAGCGGTACTATGGCACAAGTAAATTAAATAATTTCAGATGAACTTATCAATTGACAAAAGTTAGATGTTATAATTGTAAATATTAGATTATCTCATAAATTCTTGTCGAATTCCATACCGAAATATACATAGATCAATATTTCAACATACACCTTTCAATTTTATGAAAAGTGTAATAATCTTCGCCCTCCACAATTTCTTTCCAGTTTTTTTTATACAGCCACTACGCTATAACTATAATGTTCATTTGGACTTTTATTAAAATATGTCTCAATCCTATTTTTCAATTTGCTGACATTTTCGTGTTTTTTTATCAACTAAAAAATATTGCATATTTAAAATGTTAATACTAATTTACAGATCAAGATAAGATCATGTATCTCATAGATCAAGATAAGATTCTGCTATACATAACAGATTGTCGTGTAAGAATGGTTTCTAAGACCGCCAGTGAGCAGACTTGGTTCTACTCAATTTTAAACATTGTTTTTCTAAAATTATTCTGTAGTCTTCTTTATTTTATATTATGAATGTTATTCCTTGTTAATAATCTACATCTTAAAATGCACAAATTCGTTTGATTTGATACTTACATTAATTACAATATTTTTAGAAATACAGTTTACATTTAACAATTTTTGCAAGAATCCATTATAAAAACATATTTATAACTTTTGTCAACAAAACATTTTTTACAAGTAAACAAAAGTATTTAATTTTCATAAGGAACGATTCGTTATTCCTTCTTGTACATTAATTATAGCAATGCGGATATAATTCATGACACTTATAATTTCGTATACCAGCTAATTTCCGTATTTTTTATGCGCTTACGTTTCATTACCATTCTGCAATAAGTTTTACAATAATAGAAATTTGTTAACCCTTACGAATGAAGTTGGAATAAATTGTGAATAATTTGTAAACACCAATAAGTTTTGTCCGTGGGCACTTTAAGAAATTATGCTTGCATTTAGTATGCATCTAATTTTTACTTCAATCACACAGTATATGGAATTTCAATCGAAGATACAAGGCCTTCTTGGTCGAGAATCAAAAGAGGAGAATATAAAGAATTATGTGACTCTGATCGCTAAAGATAAATTAATTGGATGTAAAGAAACAGACATTTCTGATCCACGATACACCGCGTTGTCGCATTATATCACGGAAAATTTACCAGACAATTCCGATGTAAAGGTATACACAGAAAATTTTATATATTACATATTTATTTTTTAAACTGTTGAAAATAATAGAGTTGCTGTTCCCATGGAAGTAATAACGACATAATTACATCTTCCTATTTAAATTAAAGCATTATTTCTCTGTATACTGTTTTCAAATAATACGCAGAAATTCAGAAATACATGTATGTGTTAATTTTTTTTGTTAAAGATTATTTACTTTTTACATGTTACAAAAAAATTATTCATTTGACGCTTAGAATTCAATTGTCAGATCAAGAGATGCAAATAATTTGATGGCATAAATTTATTTCCTTAATGTTTTTAGCTGTCTCGAGCAATTACACGAATACTAACTACAATGATGAAAACTACAAAAGGAAGGACACTTCATCCTGATCAGACAACAATTGCAGCACCAGTTTTCCAGGTATTGAAAAAGTTTTGTTTGGTCAATAACTTTTAATACAAATTTTCTATGTAGTAAAATTTGTACTATTAAAACATTTGTAATTCGCGTATTCTACTAATCGAACGTTCAATAGAGTAAACGATCTTGCACTGAACAAATTACGTACGTGACTACTCATATGTATCTTATTCAAACATTCTTTTACAATCATTGAAGTTGATTCTAATCATATAAGTTCAAATATTAATCACATAAAACAATGTACCTAGTACATTACAATTGACCATGTGCCCATTTATATGTAAAATGACGTAAAGCCAAATCATGTAGTCTGAATTTCGGAAAATAAGCACAGGACCTGAGAACTACATGAAATTATTAATTACAAATAACTGTACCGTCATTGAATGAATGAGTTTTGAACAACTGTCAGCTGAAAATTTCCCCAAAATTACCTTCATTTCATTGTTCTGGCACACCGACTCCTGTTTTACCTAGACGATGCAATTAACCGGGTAACACACATTACTTGCAAATAACTAAGAATATGCAAAACACGAAATACGAGATAGTTAATACCTATTGCCTAATGAACTCCTTTAATTTAATCGAATTTAATTACTTGTATCGAGATTCAATGGTAATTTCATTGTTCATGTTTAACGAAACCAAAATTTCAGGTCCTAGATAAATGGAAGGCCCTGTTAAAAGTAACAATAAAATAATTAAATTCAATGAACACATCGTGAAACTTTCTTTCCATAAACATTGTACTTAAGTAATCAAATGTTTTCTAACATGAATTTTTCTTCGTTCTAGTCCTACGGATTGAACGACATGAAATTCAATCAACTGTTATTGTGCATATCAAGAGCATTGGGTGCAGTCGCGTCTATAATTTGGGCACGAGCTGTTAACACATCTGTTGAGCATCCAGCTTCGAAATGCACTTACAGTTATCTGGAATCTATTCAAGGAACGTATCGAAAACGTACACGTGGTAAACACGTCAAAAACACGCGGCCGTAATTAAGTATTGTTCTATCAGACGACGTCATTTTAATAATGCTGTATTGACTCCTGCTTCGCAGTGACTAGTTCGCACACCTGGTCGCAACTGGCAAATATAAATGAAGCACTGTATCATGGCATTTGTTCATACATTTGTACAAAACTTCGTGCGTATGAATTCAAATATGCCGTCTCTATGCGAATAAGTGTTTCCTCTGGTCCTTTATAAAGTCATTGTAATATTTATTCTGAAAATGAAAATTTCGTACAAATAATAAATACTATCTCTCCAATCCTGACCTGTTGAACTATTTTATTTTAGATTTTATCACTTCATTTTGAATTTTTTTTTTTAATGAATTAACAGATTCCTTGCAGTTAACTTGGAATCAAAATAAAAGTAAAAAGACAAAGTCATGAAGTTCTCAGGTTCTTTTGAGATTAATGACAGTTTTATGAGGTGACAGCGGAGATGAAGCTCTGCCCAGCGAAACCTCGGCGAGTAAGATGTTATCTGATATTCTATAAGCCGCCGTCGACCGATGCTCGGGATACAATGTAACACATAGAACGAATCGCCCATGAATAATAAAAATTTTAACTTTTACTCCTTTCAGTGTACTTTCTTAAAAATATTTTGAATAAATGTAGGAGATTCTCCTGATGAAAATAAACCCGCGTTCAATACCGGAAATAAATTTTTCCAAATGGTAGGAAGCTCTTTTCTTACGCCACTTTTTCCCCTAGCGGAAGCAGAGTCTGCTCGTGAGGGTACATACATTGAAAGATCACTATTTATTAAAATTTAATTTAATTAAGTACGATACAAATGTAAAGATATATTCCACTTGGAATATCAAACATTGGATACAAATGCACAGTTGTATTTTCAATTGAAAATATGAACATTGTACAAAAATATATAGTTTAAGGAAACACAACTATTTCCCATATGTATATATGTGCCTTAATCGGTATTATTCAGATACACATAATTATCTGTGAATATATTTAAATCTATAATATATATTTTAATTACATACGCATATATGTATGTATGTAATAAGTCTCATAGTTTAGTATAAAAATGTGCTTATACATATACTTAGCAACCAACCTCTGTATGAAATATAACAATTCATTGAAATATGTATTCAATACAGGGTGGGCCAGAAATCGTAGTACATCCGGCACTGGGTGCTTCTACGTAAAAAAAGAAGAAAATATGTTGGTATAACATTTTCTCATTCGGGGCTCCGTTTTCGAGAAAATCGACTTTAAAGTTTGTTCAACTGGCAAACGATTTAGTACAATTTGTTTGTTGTGTATTCCACTACTGTGGTTGTCTCTGTCCGGGACAGTGTTTGGAAGCATTGCCAACGATGGAAAAGTGTCTACATATATGGACATGTGGATACACAGTTCGGTTTACGATAAGATATTGAGGAATTCGAAAAATTAAAAAACGATAACAGTTTACACTGCTTATTTCAGATATCATTAATTCGTCGAGCAAACTTATGTATACAGGAACGAGGAGGAAATTTTCAACAATACTTAAAATAGTGTACTGTATTGTAGTATTCTAATAGTAAGTATTAAAAAAGAATAATCTATTTATCAAATTATCCACACAATCATCAATGTTTGTAAACACTGTTTCGGACAGAGACAACCGCAGTAGTGGAATACACGACAAGCAAAATATACTAAATTGTTTACAAGTTGAACAAATTTTAAAGTCGATTTTCTCGAAAACGGAGCCCCAGATGAGAAAATGTTATACCAAAATATTTTCTTCTTTTCTAACGTAGAAACACCCCCTGCCCAGATGTACTACGATTTCCAGCCCACCCTGTATATTTGCGCAGATACCTATTACGGACTAACTTCGATTTACACTTTCATGAAATAACGTATCTATTACAAAATATACTTTTATTATCAATGAAAAAACTAATTTAAATAATCATGAACGAATATAATAAAATACTGATAAAGTAAGTAATATGCTGTCGATATTAATGAGTTAGCTGTTTGTTAATTGCTTTGCTAGTAATTCGTACGGCAGTGTACGCTATAGCTCGTCCGAGGAATAGTGTAGCAATAAAATAATTAATATAATAAAGTAGGGAAAATGAAAATACAAATGCTCTTAAACACTATTCAATTCTTAACACTTTGCTAAGGGAACATATCAAATTACACTGTTCATTGACATAATTATGTGAATTACTAGCTGTACTTGTCAACACCAAAACGTTTTTTCATAAAAAAAATGTATGAATGTATATTTCAAAATCTTAATTTTTCAGTAACTTTTAAAAAGAAAGTTGATACTCTACATTAGCGTTCGTTAGCGAAGTGTTGAGATTTTCATTCAATAGTATTTACGATATTTAGCCTCTAACCGAACTAAACGGTAACTGTTTAATTGGTTACTGAACCGTGTTGTACACTTTAAGCCATTATATGATCAACATCACTGCTTCTTAAAATCACTTCTAAGAAGACATTTTTAAATACTATTGCTCGGCCGAATAATACACTATTCTTCTACGTGAATATGGTGAAATATATCAGACTCTATCATTTAAAGCATGTTTGTCAACGAATGTTGCTTTTGGTTGGTGCCCATACAGAAAAATTGAACAGATTACTAACATAGCACCTAATGAAAATTGAAAAGTTAAATTAAAATTAAAAAGATATATGGAAGCTATGCATGAAATGATAATAGCTAAAGATGTGGCAAAACCCTTAAGTATATTATCAGCATACTTAACTACCATAGCAACAATAAGACCTCCTCCTGCTTGAAGAACAACTAAATACAAAACAAATAAATCATAGCCAAAAAAGAAACCTTGTTTTTGTAATACTTGACCATCATTTATAAGGCATGTAATTAATCCAAAAGGTAGTGATAATAAACTTAACTGTACATTTCTCATCCATACTGATACATCTGAGCCTTTGAGTATTTTTTCAAAATATATACCAGCAAATCCTGATAAAAAACATGCACTCAATGCAGCTGAGAATCCAATTACACGATTCTGTTCTATACCAGATGGTAAAGTAGTTTTTGAGTTCTGAGCTAATTGTACTAATACTACACCTATGACTAATAATATTAAAGCTCCCCACTGAGTGTTCCTTAAGGACCTTCGCAGTATTACAACTGCAAAAAATGCTGTTGTCAAAATTTTTAGTTGGTATGTCACCTGAAAAGTAACATATGTATTTAACAATATATTTATAATATTCAAAGACAAAGATTATGAGATAACAATTTATACCTGATGAGTTGCTGCATCTAAATTGGATGCTGACACATAAAGAAGATTATTTTGTATAATATATAAAAGCGATGGCACACACACCTTCAAAGTGTCAATAGGTTGTTTAATAATATTCAAATATAGAGAATTACAAAATTTTACAAAGTTTCCTTCTTCATAAAAAACTAACACCAAACATGTTAAAAGTTTAACAATCTCTGCCATAAAAACAGCTATAAAAATATTAAAAAGTTTGAAAATAAAACTATCATGCATATCTTGTAGGTGTCAAATTTATTAAAATATAACATAAATACCTGTTGACGACAGGAACATATCACCTGATCTGATACGTGCATATCGCATACTAAGGCCGACCAAAGCATTTTGCAATGTAAGAGTAATTAAACTGATATATTTTAATGTATCACCACTTCCTACAAAGACAATTTCAGAAACAGGCATTATGTGAATATGACACTTTATCAATAAAGAACAGAAGTATGTAGTTATACACTCACTTTGCTGAGATTTTATCATAGTGTCAATACTTTTTACAGATAAATGTTTAATAGAAAAATGAATGGATCACCTTATCTGTCAAATAAAACATTTATAAATAAAATTATTTTCACGAAATCTTATATTTATTGTGAATATTAAATATTTATAGTACATAAAAACATGAGAAAAATGAGAACATAAAAAATTGAATAGTCATAATTTTTTCTATAATCTTCATAAGAAAATAAATTTCTACTTGAGTTAGTGTTTGAAAATAAAAAATTTGCATAAATATTCGCAGTCTATTAACTACACAGTATTCATTATTCACTTTTTATTTAAAATTAAACTTAAAAGTTAGTATCTTTCTAAAAAACTAGAAAGAGTTTTCATACCTTACCATCTTGTGCATTTTCATTTAATAAAATGTAAAATACAGACACAGAAATGTACACGTTGACATTTCCCTTCACTTGTTACCTGCTGTTTCGACGGATTACTACCGCAGACTCTGTAGCTGCGGTGCAGAGGGCGCAGACAAGCTCGCAGCTCGCAGCCGCACGCAGCTAGGGGAGCTATGGTCTGTTTTTCGAAAGATGATGCCTGAGAGGTTGGCCTGCCTCGGCGCGTGGCCTGGCGGAGATCCAACGCGAGCTGCGTATTTCGTGCGACGTTGCACGGTCTCAATGCCACTGTGTGTTTCTTTCCATCCTCCGGCACTTCGGCACGCGAGCCTCTCGCTTAGACGCTCGGCAAACCAACTTCCTTCTTTACCCTGCGATTTCCACGTGTAGCGTTTAATAACCTACGTGTTAATTTAATCTCCTTTTAATATGTTGCTCAATATTTGGGTACAATACATTCTTTTAAAAGAAATAAACTTTTTCTTATTCATGTATCTTAACTTTTGACGTGTGAAAACGTTCAGCGTCTCGTCAACATTCTCCGCCATTTCCAGACAATGGATGATTGACGGACGCGTGCCGAACGCAGTCCCCACTCCTTGAGATTGTAGGTAGGTCCTTCCCGAGAGGTTTGTAATACGTGTGATAGAGACAGACGACCGTAGGCGAGGACTCACGTCGACGGTCGCACGTCATTGGCCAAGATGCGAGGAGTGAGAGAGACACAAACCAGTTTTCGCAACACCGCGAAAACTCGGGCTTACCTCCCAGGCATCATCTTTCGAAAAACAGACCATAGGTCCTCTGGTTGGTCAGTGATGCCAGAATCGTGGTACTGTTTACCCCCACCACTCTCGCACTCCGACTACCATCGTCTCCCACTATGACGTCCCACTATGATCGACCAGACTCTGGTCACCAGAGGCTCTGGTGCTCATTCCAGCTGCGCGAAACAGTTTTGGTCTTATTTGGCGTTTAGTGTAAATTTCGTATTTTACAGCAGACACAACATATTAACCTCAGTATATTATAACAGAGTAAAGTTAAAAAGTACATAAATATTAAATATGATTAAAACACCTGTATCTATTTTGCAAGAAATGATGGTAAAAAAACAAACAGTGCCTGATTATGAACTTATACATGATGGAGGTGGTACACATATGAATACTTTTACCTATCGAGTATCATGTGATGGCCTTAGTGCTATTGGTATTGGACGTTCTAAAAAAGATGCAAAACATGAAGCTGCAAAAGCAATGTTAGAAGCTATAGCAGCCCATAGAGGTTATCTACAACTCCCTGCATCACCGTCACAATCACCTCAAAGAACACCTTTACCTCCAGTAATTCCAGAAACACAAAGGCTTCCTCCTGATGTACCATTTGTTAATGCAGTAGGAGCTTTAAAAGTAAGATTTACTTGCATATCTTGTATTTATAGAATTATGAAAACAATAAATTTTGTCAATTTATATATTATAGGAGGTATGTGGTGAAAACAATTTACAAGAACCTGAATACATACAAATTAGTGATGTTGGACCACCTCATGCAAAAATTTTTACACTTCAATGTAAAGTAGCAAATTTTAAAGAATTTGGTATTGCAAAAACAAAGAAGCAGGCTAAACAGGAAGCTGCAAAAAAGATGTTGCATAAAATAACAGACTTGGTAGCTGAATCACAAGATCGTCAAGATCCGTTCAATTTAGAGTTTGAGAAAAATGAAGAGGAAAGTACTAGTAATAATATGGCAAAAGCCCTTTATCCATCACTGTCAAACTTACCTTTACAAACAAAAGTTAATTTAGGTTATAAGTTGGTGGACTATCATTGTAAAATTAAGGACTCTTTTAATGTGGATATGTTGGACGATTTTATTGATAAGTTACAATGCCTTAATACCCAATACGAATTAGTAAGACACAGTAATGTTTCAGAGGAATTTGTTCAACAGTTTCTATTGAGTCTGAAAACTCTTTTGTTAACTATGGAGCTAAATGTAGCCATTATACCTTTACGATGTAAGGATAACAATAATTATGTAATAGCTGCAAGACTTACTACTTCCCCTGAGATTGTACAACTTGCATTAGGAGCAACAGAAACAGAAGCAAAATTAAATGCACTAGTGAAAGTGATTAAGTATGTGTTATTTTTTATCAGTAAAGAACAGATTGTAGAAGCACAAAGTAAAGAAAGTGGAGATAAACAGTTAGTAGACACCATTTTACATTCAGAGTAAAATATATATTTGGTTTGTTGACACATTTATGTTTTAAGAACAACCGTGAGAAGATAGTTTTGAAGTTTTGAAGTTTTGAAGTTAGTATTAAGAAAGTTTTATGTATCATGTAAGATTTTTACATAGTAATAGATGACCACTGATAATCATTATGCTCAAAGTGTGTTGTAATTTAATGGTACAGTTGAAAAGGAGACGATTCTACATACAAAAGCAAGATGACAATGAAGAATAAATCTTTTTTTTGGAGTTTCATGTACTTTATAGTATATGACTGATTAATGTGTGTGCTTATCACCACCGCACACTGGTACGAATCGCGGAAAACGCGACGAAAAATCCTTACGTCTATATTTCACCGTTTATCATTACAAAGATAGTCATTCGGGGGTTTTTGGGGTCGCAGAATCTGATTTTGAGCTCAAAAATGTTGTTATACTAAAGTTAAGCCCAGTAGGGGGGAGGAAACGTAGATAAAATAATTATATAATTTGTTTAACAGTGCTGTCTGATTTGTTTGTAATATTTTAAGTTAATTACAGCATAAAATTTTAAAAAAGTTAACAGATGTAGCGATTGTATGAGAAAGAAAGCTATTGAGCGCGCGGATACTAAGAAGTCAATAGTTTTGTATAAATCACACTTCAGATATTGAACAATTTTTTATTTACTTATAGAATGAAGTGATGCATTCATTTTATGCTATTAAAGTATATAAATAGTTGTAAATCACAGAAATATAAGAAATTATGTGACTATGGTACTTAATCGCATGTTACATTTTTCGGAATCGAGGTGAATCCTTGAAACTTATAGTATTCGATAGCCTATAGTATAAGGAACGTAACTGTAAGAGCTGAACTTGCGCATCCTTGCGACTTCGGAGTAATAACCAATTATATTGGTAACAATCACGCGGCTGGGCGCGGCGCGTCATAAATATCTTTGCCCGGCCAACATGTTTCTATATTCCTGAAAATATTAAGGAAACCATATTTAAGTAAAATAAAAAGTGACACTAATGAACATGCAAATATAAAAATATAGAAATATACAAGATCACGTTAACTTACATTTCATTCTAAGAACGTGTGCTCCATATCTTCTGTGTTTTCCTCTAATTCTACTTCAATTACTGGAAATACAATGAATTCCATAATTTCTGGATCTTTTCAGGAATATAGAAACATGTTGGCCGGGCAAAGATACTTATTACGCGCCGCGCCCAGCCGCGTGATTGTTACCAATATAATTGGTTATTACTCCGAAGTCGCAAGGATGCGCAAGTTCAGCTCTTACAGTTACATTCCTTATACTATAGACTATAGGCTATCGAATACTATAAGTTTCAAGGATTCACCTCGATTCCGAAAAATGTAACATGCGATTAAGTACAATAGTCACATAATTTCTTATATTTCTGTTATTTACAACTATTTATATACTTTAATAAAAACATTCTATAAGTAAATAAAAAACTGTTCAATATCTGAAGTGTGAATTTATACAAAACTTCTTAGTATTCGCGCGCTCAATAGCTTTCTCTCTCATACAATCGCTACCTCTGTTAACTTTTTTAAAATTTTATGCTGTAATTAACTTAAAATATTACAAACAAATCAGACAGCACTGTTAAACAAATTATAAAATTATTTTATCGACCTTTCCTCCTCCCTACTGGGCTTAACTTTAGTACAACAACATTTTTGAGCTCAAAATCTGATTCTGCGACCCCAAAAACCCCCGAATGACTATTTTTGTAATGATAAACGGTGAACTGTAGACGTAAGGATTTTTCATCGCGTTTTCCGCGATTCGTACCACTGTGCACTGTTTCTACTTCTGTATTTCATTTCACAAGTTGTAATGGGTCAGACATTTCTTCTGTAGCAGTGTGCTTGCAGTCTCACGTGTGACGACGATTCCCAAATCCATTTGTAAGATAACCAGTTCTCTATTGTTTATATTAATCTAGCGCTTACACAGCTTATATACCATTTGTCGTATGTAGGCGTGTCTCCTTTACGTCAAGTAGGCGTTAAGCAGTTGCTTTAACTGGTCAAAATTTGTGAACTCAAGTATCATATACACAAATGGTAGTACAGTATAAATTATTTTCTATTGATATTATCTTTTGCTTAACCACTTAAGTGGCAATGGAGAGCAATTAATACCATATTATTATTAACACTCACAAACATTCACACAAGTAAACATAATCAATAATGAATATGCTTATGAGTTAAACGGTATTGGAATACATGCTAACAAACAAACTATAAAATTACATTTCTTTAAAAACAAAGCTTTATAAGAAAAAGTTATATTTTACATTTTCTATTTATTTTTGGACATAGAATCAATTTCTCTATGATTATACCATTCATTATTGGATATTCGGTATAGTACTTTGCAAAATAAAAGTACGGAGAATGTTATCATTTACAGCAGTCAAAACCTGATTTATTATTATTATTTCATAATTTCATACATTGTGCTAAACGCAAGAATTTTTCAGTTGATTGAAATGGGTCACAAACAATTTTTGCAGGCTGGAAATAAATAATGGATTGGCTGTGGTTTGCTTATCATTGATCTAGAGTTATCATTTGTATACCTGAATAGAAATTACGTTAAAATTTGAGCCACATAAAATGGTTATTACTTTCAATTTTACTATGGAAAACAGTAATGCCAGCATGTAATAACTTTTTTATGTCAAAGACTTTTAAAGTGATAAGTATGGTTTAAGTAGAAGAGAGAGACTATTTTTTGTTTTTTCCTTAAATCGTGATATATATTTTATTTTTTTTAAAGAACTTTAAATAATTTGTAGTCCAAATGAAGGACATTGTAGGAATAAAAAAACGATTACAATTTTACGTTTTTTTTTACTAAATTCTAATAAATTACACAGAATCTTGGCTACTGTTTTTGAAAATTTTAATAACGGATTGCGTCTTTTTGTTTATATGTTGTTTTGAAGTTTATGCGGAAAAATTATAAAGAATATATTTTCTTTATTGTTTTTTGATAGAATATAGTACATACTACACATAAGATGAAAATTAGTAAAAGATTGGATTGTATTTTGTATGGGAAAAAGTAAATACGCGATGAAATTCTGCAAAGTACCAAATACATGTAATTTTGACCATTTAGTTCTTATTAAAATCAGTTATATTTGAAACTTATATTAATATTTCTGTATGGACAACTTTTATAAAGGATACAACTTTTATAGAAGCTAACAAATGAATCAAATTGAAAATAAAGTAAATTTCTTTATTCAACACTTGAGTCTGAGTTTTTTTAATCCGAATGATGAAAAAATTTTGTCTGTTATTTAATTGGTGGTACTGGTAGATATAGTAAAGGCTCCATGAGAGTCCTCTGGTGCTCATTCCAGCTGCGCGAAATAGTTATGGTTTTGTTTGGCGTCTAGTGTAAAGTTCGTATTTTACAGCAGACACAACATATTGTTACGTGTTACCCGATCGGTAGCACGTATTGTATAATGTTAAAGCGAGAGACTTCAGGTTAGCGACGTCGTTTTGGTAACAACGCCAAAACAGAGACAGAGTAGAGTCGTAATACGACTATAGAATAGAAAAGACGCGTTAAGATAAGTACTCCTCCTCTCCAAATAAATAATTCTTCCTTTTTATTAATATTGCCTTTATTTATTCGGAAGTCATGCCGCATCCACGCAACACTGGTGTCAGAAGTGGGATTGTTGAAAGGATTGGATTTAGGAGTGAAGACTCATCCCATGGCCACTACCGAAATTCCTTCCCATCCCCGAAAGCGTTGAACTGGTTTGGATCAAGAAATGGCTCCCCCATGAAGAAGAACAAATTCCGGAGGGGACAGCTTCGAGAGCTTACAAGGCTGCCCTGAAGTCAGCAACAACCACCAGGAGCCCTATGTCTTTTATAAATAAGGCTCACGAGCTTCATGTGGCTACCGGCTGTCCTAATACCGTGAACCTGTGGAAATCCATTTTACCCACAGTTAAACTCCTGGAGCGAATGGACGCCGGGATAGTTTGGATAGTGTTGAAAGAGTTGGCATCTTTTGTCTTAGGTGACCCTCCAAAAGCCGAAGCATACATGTTAGCAGTAGATAGCAAAAGACCTGGCAATCCCTTCCGTCGATTATCTAACCGACTTGGAGACTCGAGTCTCCTTCCTATATGCTGAGTTAGAAGTCCTAAAAAGACATACATCGGCATCGGTGGACGAGGCCGACAAGTGCTATCAGCAATTTTCCAACATCTCTAAATCAATCGCCACATTCCAAAAGTTGGTCGAGTCCATCGTCCTAAAATCACAAAAATAAGACATCATCCGCGAGCATCTCTCAGCCGATCAAAATGTTGACAACCGATCTTCCCGGGACATTTGAGACTTTCTATACCGTTAAAATAAATTCGGAAGGAATTAAATCAATTTCACTTCCTACAGGACATCCTTATCTCGAGCATTTGGCCCTGTATGAAACCAAGATCCAGATGGTTGTAATCAACCTTGATCAAGCAAAGCTGATCAATCGGATCTCACGAGGGGGGAAGAGTTACGTGTTACCCGATAGGTAGCACGTATTGTATAATGTTAAAGCGAGAGACTTCAGGTTAGCGACGTCGTTTTGATAACAACGCCAAAACAGAGACAGAGTAGAGTCGTAATACGACTATAGAATAGAAAAGACGTGTTAAGATAAGTACTCCTCCTCTCCAAATAAATAATTCTTCCTTTTTATTAATATTGCCTTCATTTATTCGGAAGTCATGCCGCGTTCACGCAACAATATTAACCTCAGTATATTATAACAGAGTAAAGTTAAAAAGTACATAAATATTAAATATGATTCAAACACTTGTATCTATTTTGCAAGAAATGAACTTATACATGATGGAGGTGGTACACATATGAATACTTTTACCTATCGAGTATCATGTTATGGCATTAGTGCTATTGGTATTGGACGTTCTAAAAAAGATGCAAAACATGAAGCTGCAAAAGCAATGTTAGAAGCTATAGCAGCCCATAGAGGTTATCTACAACTCCCTGCATCACCGTCACAATCACCTCAAAGAACACCTTTACCTCCAGTAATTCCAGAAACACAAAGGCTTCCTCCTGATGTACCATTTGTTAATGCAGTAGGAGCTTTAAAAGTAAGATTTACTTTCATATTTTGTATTTATAGAATTATGAAAAAAATAAATTTTGTCAATTATGTATGTAGGATTGTGAAATAAACGGTTTTGTTTATTTAAAATGTATATATTAAACTCAATTAAAATGACAGCCAATTAAAAATACAAAAGTAACTGACAAACATTAAAACGCACAATACTATTCTTTTCTACGGCTTTTACGCCACTGTCCCGAACCTCGTCCCTGTTACGCATAACGCGCTCGGGCCCACTCGGTTCCTGTCGGACATATATTACAGGAGGTATGTAAACAATTGTAATTGAAAACAATTTACAAGAACCTGAATACATACAAATTAGTGATGTTGGACCACCTCATGCAAAAATTTTTACACTTCAATGTAAAGTAGCAAATTTTAAAGAATTTGGTATTGCAAAAACAAAGAAGCAGGCTAAACAGGAAGCTGCAAAAAAGATGTTGCATAAAATAACAGACTTGGTAGCTGAATCACAAGATCGTCAAGATCCGTTCAATTTAGAGTTTGAGAAAAATGAAGAGGAAAGTACTAGTAATAATATGGCAAAAGCCCTTTATCCATCACTGTCAAACTTACCTTTACAAACAAAAGTTAATTTAGGTTATAGGTTGTTGGACTATCATTCTAAAGTTAAGGACTCTTTAATACCCATGTTACGTCCCGCGTTGTGGTCGTTGCTCTACTTATAATTTCGGGTCCTGGCTCTTTTAAGGTGCTAAAGCACGCCCTGTCTAAACTTACCGGTGAAGTACGCGGTTTGGATTTGGAACGGGAGGAATAGGAAATCACTCTCGTTTATAATAATAATAAAGATATATTCTAACAATCAAAATAAAAATAAAAGATACAAATAAGTCTTAACATACCAATGGTGATGAAGATGAATGATACGTTTTTGTCGCTTTCAGTCGGTTCGATCGGGATTACGGGTCCTTGAGAGGGCGGAAGACTCGTTGGCGCTAGGAACCGTGATACAGAGTTTAGGCAGTGCGGGATACGTTGTCGCCGTCTCGGACGTTGCACTTCGCTGTCTGGTGTCTTATAAAACTCGTCTGTAGGCCGCGCGTAATCGCAAGGTCGCGTCGCACAAGGAAGAGATATCGTCGCGAAACCCGATCTGAACAGCTGAGTGACCGTTGTCGTTCAGCTTGCTGACCAAGCACCGTCTAGCGCGACTGCCGAAATATGAAAGCCGCAATACTGAGAGTGTTTCCCGGTTTTGAACAATCCCTTTTATGTGTTCTTCCCCCCTTCCTTTTGTTAGGAAACGCGCAAGATTCGGGGTAGCAACAGGCTATGATTCACGATGGTCCCGAAGCGAAGTTTTAGAATCGCTGACGTTGCTTCCACGTGTTGCTGAATTAACGGTTTTCGCTCGTTCTTCGCGTTTGAAAGTAATATGGTAAAAATGTGCAATGAAAAGAGGTTATGAGAATACAGGATATAACAGCACTAAGGCCATCACATGATACTCGATAGGTAAAAGTATTCATATGTGTAGCACCTCCATCATGTATAAGTTCATAATCAGGCACTGTTTGTTTTTTTACCATCATTTCTTGCAAAATAGATACAGGTGTTTTAATCATATTTAATATTTATGTACTTTTTAACTTTACTCTGTTACAATATACTGAGGTTAATATGTTGTGTCTGCTGTAAAATACGAACTTTACACTAAACGCCAAATAAGACCGTAACTGCTTCGCGCAGCTTGAATGAGCACCAGAGGTCATGAGAGTTGGATGGGAAGTTTCTCGTTTCTACTTCATATCATAGACATATGTAATAGAGTGCGCTGAATTATGGTATTTCGCCAGGAATGACCCTATACTGAGATCAAATAATGGGCATAATATGTAAAATGTTACTGGAAAATTAATACCTACGTTGATAAATGAAGAATTAAATTAAATGGTAAGGAACTTGTAACTTACAGTTCACCTTAAAATACAGCTTTCGAAGTTCTGAAATAAGGTGCTGTAAGTAAATCATGGATATCGCTTAAGTACATACATAATACGGAAATTCGTTCGATTTTAAAAATATTTCAATTTATTTTATGTCACATAAAAGCGCTACACCTCGCAGCGTCCAGTGCCGAGGATTGTGATCGGTCTCGAAGTCGATCGATCCTACATACTTTGTATCCGTTCTTTGCGGTTTTCTATATATAGGACACTCGTAAAGCTTTGGATCCTTGCCCGCAGTTGTGTTTATTGAGTAAATGTAAATCACGGGCATCTGCTCGTATAGGACCTTCGGTTTACTTTCCACCAACTTACCCGTTTTACGATCAAGCGAAGCGCCTTCCAGGAATAGACCATGAACATACACCCCTTCCTGGGGTTGGTTTTTAATGTCTTCCTTATTGAACCTTGTAATCAGATTCTGTAAAACCACCGAATCCAGGGCCCATCCTTTGTGCGCTCGAGTCACCTCCTGCAACAGTTTTGGGCACTTTTCATTTAAAATAACAGTAATAAATAACGGTAGCAACTAAGTTTAGTGTTCCCCGGTTAATAGACGAATTTTTCTCCGATTAATTGACACGGAGTTATCTTCGAGCTGCTTTCATGGGGCGAGTGTCCGCCTCATCTGTGCTACACCTCGTAAAACAGTTGTTGAAACCTATCTCTCTATTTCACTCACACTCAATATTTCCTACTTTGTCTACAATGCGCTCAAACAGCGGGTGAACCGGAGAAAGACAACAGTCGGCAATCCCTGGAACACTTACCTCCTTTGAAAACTGTTTAGTTTTACTCCTGAATGACTTTACGACCACGCTATATTTTGGTGAGAACTACAGCCTTGGCCAAAACATTTAGACACCCCATAAAATATGAATTTTCAAAAATATTTTTGTATTAAGAAGAAATCTAGATATTGAAGTGTGGAAGGTATCATTTTTTATTCATTTTGTAAATATTTTATTGGGTCACCCTGTGCCCTAATGACTGGCAATCATGGCAATTTCTTTGTGACATTTACTCTGCCTTCTAAAAAAAAAAACAATAAACTTGCGTTGATGGTCACTCAGTTTGCTTTTTTTGGCATATTTCAAGGAAGACTTTCTAAATTTGAAAATATTAACAGCAAACCTAATGACACGTTGATCTGTGTTAGTAGCGCGTACTGACAGCAAAGTGTAACTTTTAGGAAGAACCACAAAATGTAGATTATGGGCTGTTCAGTTGCTTTATGGTTCACTATAAACCTTGTCAACCATTCTAAAATTCCTTCGAACTGGCCGATAAGGGATGACGAACAATAGAAAGGTTTCAAAGAAATAGTTTTCGCAGCACGCTGAACTAATAAATGTTCCTAATACTTTTAGCCAAGGTTGTACACAGATGAGCAAACTCGACTTCCGCTAGGTTAAAAATTGGCGTAAGGGAAGGGCCTCCTACCACTTGATAAATTGATTTCAGGTACTGAAATAGATGTTACATCGGATGTTAATTTGGCATAAATTTCAGTAATTCCCAATACCAAATGGTAGGGGCTGGGTAGAAGGCCTCTTCTTCCGTGTTATTTTTTCCCCTAGTGGAAGCCGAGTTTGCTCGTGAGTATATATCGAGTGTCAAGACTCTTGAACTGCGTAAAGTGAGAAAAGTAGTAGTATTGTAGTATAAAATAATACGTAGTAACTAACTTGTCGCATCGCAGTTAGAAATCCTTGGGGGTTGAAAAAGCCGGTCATCCAGAAGACCTTAGGCCTACCGTGAATGCACCACTGTCTGAACTGATGATCTCGTTCTAGGAGTTCCGTGTACCAAAATCCTAGAGTTGCCGATTCCCATGATATTTTTAGCCATTTTTCCGGAATACGAGCGTCGTACATCGCGTCAAGCGATTTGCGTAAGCCTTGGCTCATCACAATGGTACCCTCGATGGCCAATTTCAGATCCGTTAAGGTAGTACGCACTTCCTTCATTACCCTCGTAATCCTGAAGTGATTAAAAGATTTATCAAATCTATTATACTGAAAGAAGAAAATCTGTACCTGTCGACTTCCTGTCTGAGGAATATGTTCATCGGTAATAACGCTCCCATTCGTTGAAGCGCTTCTTTCACTTCGAAAGAGTTGTACTGTTTCGGCAATTTGGCCAACATGTCGCTGGCTAATTTGTAAACAACGTTCTCTCTGGTTTCACCGCCTTGTGTACCACCTTCTTTTGGTTGCACGCTCAAAATCGTGTCGAGTATTCCTTTCGCTGTATTTATTTGATAGGTGATATCCGCGTTTGGATGCAGCCCGAACACTTCTGGGGTGTCCGTGGCTGGCATACCGTCGATGTAATCCAAATATCCTTGAAGATTTCGGGTTTGCGGTACCTTGTATCTACGGTAAAATTCGAAACCAGGCCGGAGCAATACGTCGCAGAACCAGACGTGCGTAAATGTGGTCAGTAGCCGTTTGTCAAAATCGTCGGTGACTCTGCCTCCATATTGCACCTGTATCCGGAGGAAAACGATGTGAAGGTTGTACTCTGGGTTTTTCATTATACTGCCCTAAGTCGCATTAAATTCAAGATAATTCATTAACGATAAAACATTTTCGTATCTTCCTCGTAATCGAAAGCATAAAATGTGTGAAATAAAATTCAAATAATTTTTAATAGGTACATACTACGTTATTAACATTATAAACTGAACTGTATTGCTTGGTTGTAGATCATTTGAACTGTCGGTTATTACGAATTAATTTCTGGAAGATCAAAATAAAACAGGGAAGAGAAAAATTGGCAATGTTGGTTCGCAGTTCGCGTTTGTTATATGTGTTTGTATATATGTATACTGGGCGCCAAAATTAAAGCATCACTAAAATTTGCCGAAAATATTGGTCATTTTCAGATGCCTATACCTTCGCGAAAAATAGCTATAAAAAATATTGTGACAGAACGTTTTGTAGCCCGAAGTTTCTAGTTTTTGAATCGGGAATTTAAAAATTATTTTTATGTAATTTTTTTAAAAGATGAACCGCAGTAAGCGAATGTTAAAAAATGTTGGTCAAGTTTGAGAGGATGCATGGGACAAATGAAATTTTTTCTGGTAATTCCAATGGAAAACTTTTAAAAAGCAAACATTTCTCTTTAATTTCGTTTTTTTAATTTTGTTGTACAGTTTTTATTGGCCGAGTTATTCGTCATCATATGAGAAAAGGTACTTTCCACTTTGACCGCCTGTAACTTGCGAACGCATGATCGTATAGAAAATTCCAGAAGTGATTTGGAAAGCTGAGAGATTTCTCTTTAAAGACCTTTAGTTGCCAATTTGTTGAAATTTTTTTTCGTCGTCTACAGTCCATTTCAAAATAACGTAAAATATTGCATAATTACCATTTTTCACAAAACACGATGCCATTTTAACAAAAATTGTGGAATCTTCCAGGTGTCTACGTTTTTTTTAAGTTAAAAGTACACGTAACCCCTGTACCAAAGGCCGCATTGATCAGATTTTTTTTACCCTGTGCCCTCGATAGTGAAACTTGCGATACAGTCTGAAAAATTGGTGAATGACTCTTTTGCGGCACGTTTCCTCTTTAAAACGATTTCGCAGCGTTTGAACTGTTGTGGTCTGTGTCTTCTTAGTTTCACTTTATTTCAGAAGAAAGTAGAGATGTCAGAAATTTAGCAAACACATTTTTAAACAATCTCTTCGCAATGACAAAAGGTGCACAATACTGCCGGCATTAGCATTACCTAAGGCGTACCACGAGGAGGTTTCACTGTCGGATTTACGCTTCACTGCGTATGTACAAGCATGGAGAGATGAGACCCTGTGGTTCGTCACTCCCACAGTATTTTTTGACTCCAAACTCACTCTCCGATGCGTGCGTGCGTGCATGTATGCGTATGTTGTGTTTAATAATGGGTATTACCGCCTCTCCGGTTGATTACTTCTTTTAATCGTTTGCGCATATTAATGCACCTCCGTATGATTGACTGTGGTATTCTTCGCCAAATTTGGCGGAGGGCGTGCGCTAATTGCCCTAAATTCGCCAAGTCTGGGTATTGCTGTCGCAACCGACGCCCAAGAATATCCCAAACATGTTCAATGGGATTTAAATCTGGGCTCACTGGTGGATGGTCAAGAACTGGTATTTGATTTTCTTGAAGAAATTGTTGCGTATAGCGTGCAACATGGGGCCTTGCATTGTCCTGCATAAGCAGAAAGCGGTTGCCCATACGCTGACGCAGAGGGAGCACAACGGGGCGCAAAATCTCGTCCACGTACCGCATGGCGGTCAAACCACCACGTGAAAGAATAACTAGCGGTGTACGTGAATACCGCGATACTCCGGCCCAAACCATAACGGATCCCCCATGGAACGCGGTGATCGGCCTTGTATGATTGGCATCGTAACGTTCGCCACAACGACGCCAAACATGTTCCCGTCGGTCGCTCCCTCGTAGGCAGAATCGGGACTCGTCTGTAAAAAGAACATTTGTCCATTGACGCTGAGACCAGCGTATGTAACGACGAGCATAAGCTAAACGCTGCCATCGATGTCTAGCAGTTAGCAACGGGACTCGTACCGGGCGCCTCGAACGTAAGCCAGCCTCCCTCAATCGACGCCTCACGGTGTTGTTAGAGATCGTGCGTGGCGGGTTTTGCCTGCGGTTCGAAATTTGTTCCGCAATAGTGCGTGCGATAACAAAGGGTTCCCGAAGAGCACGTCGCGTAATTGCTCTGTCGTCTCGAGAACTGGTCGCGCGTCTGCGTCCTTGCCCCGATCTACGGACATACTCCCCAGTCTCTCTAAATCGAGCATAGACACGGCTCACAACTGACTGGTTTACACCAAGAACATTAGCAACCTGTCGTTGGCTGCAACCTTCCTGCAAAAGTGTTACCAGTCGACCAATTTCGTAATCAGAGAGATGACGTCTAGGCATAATAAAGTGCTTAAAGAAAGAGAAAAGATGTGAAAAATTTGCTAAGAAAAAAATTTCGATAGGAATAAATAGAGGAGGAAACTGAAGGATTTAATGGAATTGCTAAAAAGAAGAAAAAAAATCCGTGATGCAATTACTGCAAGACCAGTTCTAATGAGTACCCACCCACACTCGCGGTTCGTCTTATCAAGTTGGGGCTCGCAAGCCTCAACTGTGAGAATCGTCGCGGCGCCGCGGCCACCTACAGACAGTGCGCAGTACTAACGTTACAAGCCAACGTCTCGCTGGCAGATGCCAAGGTACTCATCTCATTACACAGCGAGGAGATGCAATGGAAAGGAAGAAGTTCGGTAAAAAAAACCAAATTAAGTTCAGTAAAAAAAAAGAAGAGTGTATCTATCGCAATAACTAAGAAAGGGTAGGATATGCACACCATCTGCACCCTCTCGTCACTTCGCATTGTTCACTTTTTGTCATTGCGAAGAGATTGTATAAAAATGTGTTTGCTAAATTTCTGACATCTCTACTTTCTTCTAAAATAAAGTGAAACTAAGAAGACACAGACCACAACAGTTCAAACGCTGCGAAATCGTTTTAAAGAGGAAACGTGCCGCAAAAGAGTCATTCACCAATTTTTCAGACTGTATCGCAAGTTTCACTATCGAGGGCACAGGGTAAAAAAAATCTGATCAATGCGGCCTTTGGTACAGGGGTTACGTGTACTTTTAACTTTAAAAAAACGTAGACACCTGGAAGATTCCACAATTTTTGTTAAAATGGCATCGTGTTTTGTGAAAAATGGTAATTATGCAATATTTTACGTTATTTTGAAATGGACTGTAGACGACGAAAAAAAATTTCAACAAATTGGCAACTAAAGGTCTTTAAAGAGAAATCTCTCAGCTTTCCAAATCACTTCTGGAATTTTCTATACGATCATGCGTTCGCAAGTTACAGGCGGTCAAAGTGGAAAGTACCTTTTCTCATATGATGACGAATAACTCGGCCAATAAAAACTGTACAACAAAATTAAAAAAACGAAATTAAAGAGAAATGTTTGCTTTTTAAAAGTTTTCCATTGGAATTACCAGAAAAAATTTCATTTGGCCCATGCATCCTCTCAAACTTGACCAACATTTTTTAACATTCGTTTACTGCGCTTCATCTTTTAAAAAAAAGGAACAAACTACATAAAAATAATTTTTGAATTCCCGATTCAAAAACTAGAAACTTCGGGCTACAAAACGTTCTGTCACAATATTTTTTATAGCTATTTTTCGCGAAGATATAGGCATCTGAAAATGACCAATATTTTCGGCAAATTTTAGTGATGCTTTAATTTTGGCGCCCAGTGTATTTATCGTTCGAGTTGTGTATCCTTCTTGTCTTGTCGCATCTTGTCGGTTCGTCTGTTGACGTCCCAGTTCGTGTGCCGAAGCACACTGAAATAAATGAGGTAACAGTATCGCAAATTGTTCGTCCATTTCTCTCCTCAATTTCGGACCGCGCGCGTAAAGGTTTCCTCTGTTCACCACGATATCCGTGAATCTATTCCCGCAAACTGAAATATTTTCTTTTCTTATTGTAATCGCTATGTTTATTACAGCCACTATTTTTACACATATATCTTCGTATTCATAAAAAATATAACATTTATTCTTCATGGTTAATTTTATATATCGTTATTTATAGAAATAATAAGTAATAAAATGTGAATACGGTAGAAATCGGGTCGAAATGATATTTTGTTTCTAATGAGAGACTTTCATACCTCTCCAAGCATGTAGCAAACGGTCGGCCATGACACCCCTCTTTTTGGATCCATATCGTCCAAATGATTCTGTATAAATTGAACGGAGGCTGCAAAGTCAGCCTGATTAAATTCATACGGTATATTCCAGCCAAGAGGCCCAAATTTCCTGCGTTCTTGCACGACTGTATGTAAAAATGCTACAGCGTACAGCAAAGGCGGCCATTGTGATTGCGTACTGTAATCCAATGTGTCTTGTGTCACACCTTGATACGTTCTCTTTAAACTGGCTCTGATACCTTGAGGTGGTTCGTTTGTAAATTTAATTGCCATCTGAGAGAAATGTGATTATTAGTCGTGGATATAATTTAGTTTCATTTGTGATTGTTAGACTGTGGATGTTTATGCATTTATATACCCAGTCAGCCAGACCTGCTCTAAACATATATTACTAGTTTCTGCTGTAGATTTTATGTGCAGATTTTCTGCAAATGTGGTATAGGCTCTGCTACAGCGGTACTGACAGTAAACTAGCAGCAGCAATATAACAGGCCTGGTGTCATGATGTGACGTCAGAAATTAAAGAGAGTTGCTAATATTTTGACGGCAGCTTCACCTCACAAATGCAGTAAAACTGCACAACTTACTTTATTACAGATTAAATCGATTACACTTCATCTAAATGCAGCTACAATCGATATTTAAGTACTTAAATGATTATTTAACATTGAATCACAAAATTAAATGTATATGTTAACAAATATTAATAATATGTATACATATATAATATATGTATATATATATTATTAATGGCTTTTAGTAATTTATTTTCCATCACAATTGGCTTAACTCAGACCATGAATGACCTTTCCAATAGGTCATTGTATTCGTCTTGAAATACTCTATCAGAATGTAAGTAAAAAAATATATCGTTCCATTTAAAAAAACAGAGATAACCTTCAGATCTCCTTGACGTCTCCATCTATCAAAAAACTAGTAACATCGAATGATCAGCCCCTCGATACCAAATAATTTTTGCCTGATGCATTTTTTTCTATCACCAATAGCAGCCAAGTGATTCAGGTGGTCGGTTTTTCACTTTCTTCAAAAAATTAACGAAAAATATTCATTCTCTATTTTGAATATTTAACCCCATGTTTTTCTGTTCACAGCCTTCGAACCAGCCAGTAATCATTACTACAATTTCATATATGCATATATTCAAATATGTGTGGGAACGGATGAAAATGAAAAAAGAGCAGGTGACTGGGATGATGTCTCAAGAATGTCAGATGATAACATTTGGGAAATTGTTGTATAAATAATATACATAGCCTACATATGTATTATTTCGTAAAAATTGTAAATATCATTGAAATCATATTGTAAATAAATATTTTCGAGAAATGTAAAAAACATTGAATTGCCAAAACCCGCTAGGTTATACTGTAAGACTGCTCTATTTATAACGTTAATCTGTAGCAATCTGTAGTGACATTATGCACACGGCCTGCTGGGTTAATGTTATTAGCTTATATTGCAGACTGCTCTGTTCACGGCAGTAAATCTGCTGTTACGTTCTACAGCAGAGTTACTGTGTTTATGCTGTGAATCTGACGGCATATACATTCAGAATGCAGCGACAGATGTAATATGATTCTGAGGTTCTGCCTGACCGACTATGATACCAGATGCCGTGTATCTGACGTCAGTTTGCATAGGGTAGCGTTCCCTGACTTGCAAATCGTAGAAAACTAATGATTATGATCACATTTAATAGCATTTACACATTATTATTAACATATTATAACGTCTAGTGTAGAAAACAAAGTTCTGTTCAATTTTGTTTTTCTTTTCTATATCAGTACACAAAATGATAAACTTACATAAACATCCGCAATTTGGTGATTGTTTTAATAGATACTGTAAAAAACCTGTAATAAACCAATAGGAAATTGTGCATGCACTTCGGTGGTCATCCAAAGTCTGAACATCTCGTGGACTGTTTCTGTTTCAACGAGAGCGTCCATGACTTCCGTGCAGAACGGAAGCGACAAGTGAATATTCTGCAGTAGCACCCAACCACCAGTGGTCATCGCGTCTGAGATCAACCTACGAGCGTGAAACTCTTGACCTTGGCCCATGGATACCGACCTCAGTTCTGTAATACAATGTAACACGTGAAAAAATTAGTGATGTCACAGCCAACTCTAGTACTAGCCGTGCTGAACAACGTGGCAACACTGCTCATGTGAGAATTGGGAGTCCTATTTTCAATAGCAGAGTCTTGTACATACTGAGTATTATAATTAACGTTATTTTTTATATAAAAACATACTAATATACAGTATTTTTTATTAATTATGTATAAGCAATACATAAATATCATAACTAAACTAAACTACTACTAACTAACATACTAATATTTATAAATGTGGTATATACAAGGTGTCCCAAATATGTCTGTCAAAATTATTTGGATTTAGTGATTTATAGTTTAATTTATAAGCTTTCTTAGAAATGAAACGTTTTTCGTAAACCGTACGTAATTCGTTAATCTTAGCTAATCTTAGTTCGTTTGTATAAACATCAGGACAAATGAAAGTTTTATCTAAATTTTTTAAATTTAACCAATTATTTCTTATATTTTTTATTACACGAAAACAGTCGAAAGAAATAAAAATGTTTTAATTAGATTGTGAAGGATCAGGAAAACCTATACCATTATGAGATAATTTACTAAACATATTTCTATTGATTCTATGATTATCTGCTACAATGCATATTATTTCGAAACCGCATTTTTGAATAAATTCTGTAATTTTTGTATAAACAATCGGTATCACTTCATCCCCGATAATATTAATATTCAGTACTACAATAATTTTAACATTTGAAAGATAGGTGAGAAACCGAAAGGCCGGTAGAGAGAGAGAGAGAGAGAGAGAGAGAGAGAGAGAGAGAGAGAATGGGTAGCCGGGAGGCCGATGGAAGTGAGAGGCCTGGAAGCTAATAAGGTAGGTTGAGTTCAGGGGACTTTCTCATTCAAAATTGAAAAAAAACACTTTTTTAATATTTCTTTATAAAAAAACTATTATATTTAGAAACATAATTACTTTTGGACGCTATTATATGTATATATTATTAAGAACATAAAGAAATTTTTTCTAGCACTTTTAGTTCACCACGACCGCTGTAGAGGGCGTCTTCCAAAAAGCCACGTTTTAATCGGTGAGACACTTTACAGACGTCCTGTAAAAAATTAAGTAAAAATTCAAACGAGATTCTATTCGTGAGACTTAAAACTAGACAATAAACCTCTAAAAGTTCATAAAACTACCCCCCCTTTTTATACAGGGGTGAATTGCCCCCAAAAAAGAGTGATTTTTCGAATTTTTCGGAAAAATATGTATAAAACGATAAAAAATACAAAAAATAAAATATTTTAGAGGTTTATTGTCTAGTTGTAAGTCTCGCGAATAGAATCCCGTTTGAATTTTTACTTAATTTTTTACAGGACGTCTGCAAAGTGTCGCACCGATTAAAACGTGGCTTTTTGGAAGACGCCCTCTACAGCGGTCGTGGTGAACTAAAAGTGCTAGAAAAAATTTCTTTATGTTCTTAATAATATATATAATAGCGTCCAAAAGGAATTATGTTTCTAAATATAATAGTTTTTTTATAAAGAAATATTAAAAAAGTGTCTTTTTTTTCAATTTTGAATGAGAAAGTCCCCTTAAAAGTGGTTAGGTTTTGGCCCTGTGGGGGGCGCGGTTTATAGGAGTTACAACCGCGATGACTCCTCGCGCTGCCCGCAGGGAAACCAGGGCAGAGGGGTTGGTACTGGAGGTATCACCCCCTTTCGCGGTCGGCCCACGAGAAGACAGCGTCAAGAGGTGAACCCCTCGTCGTCGTAGGCAGGAGGTAGGGTGACGGCATCCACAGCCGTTCCCCCACCTCCTGCCTACGACGGGGCAATGCACCCCCCCCCCCAGGGGAGAGCCCACTTTCGAAGATCTACTAGAGGGAGGGCAAGGGCGAGGTTAGTCGCGGTGTGTGTCGAACGATCCCGCGACCAGCCCTCACGCCCGAGGGGTCACCGGGGGTTTTTTTAGCGTGGTGAAAGCCCGCATTGGCAGTTTCTGCCCCCAGCGGAGACGGTGCACCTTTTCAAGGTTTTCCCCTCGTAAAAAAAAGGTGTGGTTAGGTATATCAAAGCCGGTCTCTCGCGCTGTTGCCATTTTTACCTTCAGCACGGCTAGTGGGCTAGTACTAGAGTCGGCTGTGGTAATATGCGTTTTTTTTTCTACTCCAATATCCACAATCACATTTGCCAATTGACTTCTGCGTCTAGTATCGTACTCACGAATAGATTTCTGTTTTGCCAACACTGTTATCTGCGGACTAGGGTCAGATCCAATCGAGAGTATGCATATAAGTGGGGTTCTAATTTCAGATTCCAACCAAGTAGCCTCCAGATCTAAAATCTTTGCCTCCCCGTACTCTTTCCCCAATGACTCGAGTACATACTTCCTTGCCTGAGACACGGTTCTGTTCGGACTATCAGAAGCAACTTTCTGAATACGTCCAGTTTCTTCTGATATCCACAAGGTAATTCTTCTTCCTCGGGTTTCTCTTTCTCGTACCACACCCTCCAGTCCTTCTCGTTGAATTCAATCTTCGTCAGAACATCCGAGAAAATCTCCAGTTTGCTGATCTCCACCAGGTTCAACCAGGTTATATCGAGGATCCATTTGAATGGCTTCGGAGCGACAGCGTTTAAATCTAACGACGCGCCTCCTTTTATGAACGCATTAAACTCAGCATGAGATATCACACTTCTGTGACAGTCGATTTTCATCGCTAACATTAACGTGAACAACGATTTGTGCCTTTCGTACAGGCTTCTCAGAGTGAAAGCCCACACTTCGTAGGTCAGATGACGGAGGATTATATTTATTCGTTCGTTGGTAATCGGACTCTTCGTCGATTTTGTGATGGAATTGTCGAATATAGTCAGAAATTGTCTTAATGAATTCTGGTACATTACGTTCACGTTGCTCATCTCTACAATTAGAAAATAAAGAATGGAACCCCTAGAGGCAACTGCACGAAATTCTTCACGAGCCAGGGTGATCTTCTTCTCCGTTAGCGCAGACACCTTTAACTTCTCGTTCACCGACTCTGCCGTTGTTTTAGTTTCCCTAAGCACGTTTATCAGCGCTTCGTCGTCCACCAGAGAGCCCTCAGATGACGTGAGTCGGTGTAAAAGTGTACTCTCGAGTTCTTTCATAGATCGTTGATTCGTCATGACAGATTCGAAGAGAGCTACTCGTTCGGCTTCCAAGTCTGCCTTTTCCATCAGGATCACTCTACCTAATAACTGATCTTCTAATCCCTGCATAGTAACGGTGAAGTCAATTATCGAAGTCTTTGCTGATATTTCCGGACTGTAAGCTGGATTTGGTAATTTTGTGGTGATGTACAACATAAAACCAGGCATCACGTCGCACTCCTTGTCACCGACGATCACTTTCTCGATGGAACCAGATTTAATGAAATTTTTCTCGAGCACATTATCGAGAACTGGGTCCAGCTCTTCTGCTATATCCTCTATCAGCAACGGCCTACCTAGAGATAGACTGTCTTCGAGATGAGTCCTGAAGTATTTGTGATTCAGAGATGTTATCTGTAATTCGTTCATGCACTCTTTATTCTTGATCCACATTTTTCCCTGATTCTGAGGATCGATCAATAGAGGATACGACGAAGATTTGGTTACAATGAGGGCATTCTGTACAGACAATTCATCGTTTGGCAGACCTTGAAGTGTCCACTCCGACATGGTTGCACTATCGACAAGCATGTTGATAATATTAAGATTCTTGGTGAAGGGAATCGACTTAGTTGCTAATATGTTCATCCAAGAAGACACCAAACTGGCTCTGTACTGCTGATTATACGGCCCACAATACGATAAGAAGCCTGTGGCTAATAAAACATCACCGACTAGTCGTCCTAGTTGAACTTTGAATTCGCTGCTCTGTTCAGTCCAGCGTATCTTCTCGCCTCCCAGTCCATTTATTAGCGCAGTGGCAGCCGTCATTTTTCTGATACATACATTAGCAGCGTCTGTTAATCTCTGTTTTTCTGACACGGCTGAATCGTACTGTTCTTTGACAGCTTGCAGAGCCATTTCTCTTTCTGATAATTCTCTCTCGGCATTCGCTAGGTCCTCCATTGCTACTATAAGTCTAGCTTCCTGTAAAGCTAAGTTAGCTTTTAACGGGAGAACCTCTTTGTTGACGGAGTGAAAGAACGCCATAGCCTTAGTCCAGGACAATAAGCCGGCTACGTCACCGCAAACTCGTCTAGCTGTTTCCATGTTATAATCCTCCATCTTGAAATAAGGTTGTAACAACTCCACCATCTCATTGTTAATTATGTCTTTCGGGTAATTCTGCAACTGGAGGAGGAACGTCGTACTGGCCATTAATTTTAAGGATTCAGCCCAAGACGGTTTTGGACAGGGGGCAGTGCTGTCAGGAACGACTGAACCAATCTTACGTTGAAACAGTATCAACACACAATCCATGATTCTCATGATTAAATGGGGAGGTCTACCTAGTTTTCTGACTGTAGCTATGTGAGCAGGTTTAATCGTATTCAGCGCAGCCTCTGCTTCTTCTAACGCTGGCTTAGCAGCCTCCAGCTTCTGTTCAGCGAGAGCTTTCTCTTCGGCTATGCAGGCGACCAATTGCTCAGCTTTCTCTTTCACTTTTTGTACTTGATTCTTAAATGCCTCCGCTTGCATTGCTCTTTCGGTCACCTCCAAGAGAACTGTTTCTGCCTTTTCGGAAGCTTGAACAAGATCCTGTTCCATCACAGCAAGGTCTCTCTTCAAAATTTCGACCGATATCGAAGCTTCTTCCAGTTTGGCTAAGCCAGTGTCCATTCTCTTGGCTCCCTCTCCGAGTTCGTGTTGCTTGCTATGATAAATATTCTTGTAGCCACCGATGAAGTTCAAGTATGATTTTGGAGTGACGTGGGTAGCTCTGCGGAACCTTTGGAAATACTCTGCAGAATTCACGGAAACAAAGTCTTGTATAGAACCCAGCGCGTTGACCAGTTCAGCTTTAACCTCGTTGGTGCAAGCGATGTCGAAGTCATGTAAAAAGTGTTTTGCGACTAATATCAGTGCGTCTTTGGGCCATGGCTGGAACCAGTCGATCGTGCATCCTGATATCAGGGCTGGGAAACGTTGGGCACGTATTTTGAATTTCTCCCCAACAGGAGAGAAGCAGAATACTACGTGGAGGTTCTGGCATGTTCTGTGAAGGAAGAAGTCCATTACAAGCTCGTTATTGATCGACCGTTTCGGGTTCTCGCGTTTCAGAATAGGCATCAATTCTGAAATTATTTCTTGCTGTTCGTCGCGCGTGAATAAGTTACTAATGACACCGGAGCTGAGAATATTGTTCAAATACTCCAAAAAACCTTCTTCCTTGATATCCAGATCGGTGAATATGAACGTTGTTCCTTTACCCTGAGCTCCGCATGTTCGATAAAGGTATCTGAGATCTTCTAGGAAATTTGCCACGTTGTATGATCTTGTTAAAGTTATTTGGTAAGTTTTATATCCGGCGATAAAAGAGGATAACTTCGTGAGACTTTGTTTGCCCGATCCTCCAACCCCTACGAGCATCACGTTTCCCTTGGGGTGCCTGATGACCCGTGATATTTTGACTATATGTAGCATGGCGTCCGGAAAGAAGACCAAGTCCATGCCAGACCCTCTTTGCATTTCGTTAAACTGCGACAGAAACATTTCCAATCTGTCTCTGAGAACTTGGTCATCGTAAACTGGTTCGTATACTTTTGGCAATTCCACGTCGGCATCTTCGCCTTCTTCGCCAGTAGGTTCTGGAGCATCCCTGAAAATTGTGGTACCGTAATTGTGGCATGATCGCTAGAATATAAAGTCTAAGAATTCTTTTAAGTCTTCGTTTCAGTAAAAATTTCTACAACCTTGTATTTTTATATTTGAAGTAACATAGAATTATGTAATAGTTTTCCTTTTGACAATATGAAACATTTGTACTAAGCTAATTGATGCTAAAATAACGACTGTTTGAAATATGAAAACGACGAACATGGACTTGTAGAGCTCTAGGAACACAAATTTTGTTCTTTGAGAGTTTGCAGAAATTCGAATTTCAAATTTTTTAAACCTAAAATCGTGATCACAGAATTTTAGGGAACGTATAATTAAGGACTCTTAAGGCTCCGATGATTTGTAGAGACTTCAGAGGACTTTAAGGCTTCTGGGGTTTTTAGTCTCTCCAAAGGATCATCGAAACATTGAAAACTGCGAATAGTAATGACTTGAAACAGTTCACAGACCCCAAAAGTCCCAAAAAAGTACTTAAAGGATGGTTATGGGTATGGGTGGTACATTATTAGTATCCAGCTTTGAGAGTTTAAGGAGATAAATCCATAGTACTTAAACTTATTGTATTCCAGGGTATACGTTACAATTTATGACGAGTTTCACCAGTTTGTGTGCTGAATTATACATATCCTAAGGAGTTAAACTTAAACTATTGCTTATCTAATGCTTACCTCATAAAATCTACAAACACAGGACTCTGATCCATCATGTTCACATATTTTTCTCCTAGCCTTTCGTTTGTGATTCTGACTATTTCTTCCTCGAACCACTTTTTGTCAGCCTGTATCGTGAACCTATCACTGAAAACCCGACTACATTCGTGTTTCCACAGCAACATCAGTACACTGTCTTTGTCAACGACAGTTGACAACGTGCCAACCATGCCTTGCCATATTCTTGATAGGTCTCGAAGACTGAACACATAATGAAACTTCGCCGGTGTTGGCAATAGATTGGCCCTGGTTCGTTCCCAAAGTATTCTGGTCAAAGGCACCATCTTCTTCACAAGATTTCTAACTTCCGACGAAAATCCTCTCTTCATGTTGTAGTGCCCTTCCCCAAGCACACTGAAGATTCGATCGATCGACGCTTCGTTAGGCAACGTGCAATTGAAGATGCAAAACTGTCTCTTCAGTCTCGATGGAATGTCGTTTCTTCCTCCGCCAGGTTGGCACATTGCAGCGAAAAACGTGACGTCGATTATACTAGTAAAGTCTCCAGGTTTCTCGAGCGAGTAAAATCCCTTCATGTCCATTGTCTGACGTACGATTTCGTTGGTCACTTGGTCGCCCCATTCGTTTATCTGCGGCAAGTTAACATCATCGATGAAGATCATCATTTTCCTGCCTCCTGATGGTCCAAACGTGTTTCCTAAACGTTTCTCTACATAACTCTCAATAGTCTTTTGAAACTGATATGGGCTTGTAGCTGAACTAAAATTAAAAGAACGACTTAACGTCGTTTCCGGATTAGCTTTTTTCATGTAAGACTTCATCATGACTGTCTTAGCCGAGCCTTGCTCGCCTATCAGTAGAACAGCCTTATCTTGCCGACCAATTAAATCAATTAAATACTGTATTCTGACATTATCAGGAATAGGCACCAACACGTTGCTGTAGTCTGGTGCAGAATAATCCGGGTAAACGTAGTTGGTGACCAAGCTGGTCCACGTGTCCCATTTGCCCTTTTCGGTTACATAGAAGTCGAATATCTTCGCGTCAGGGTAATTTTCAGATGTCGGTAAATCTAAGCTGCCAAAGTTTTCACGTAGATACGAGTCGTATTTCCTTCTGTCAGGTGTTTCTAGGAGAGCACCTATACTCCATACCAAAGTAAAAACATACAGACGCTTCAAGTGATCCGCCGTCATCGGTTGACGTTTCTCTTCTTCCGTTTCTTCGTCTTCCTCCTCCTTTTCATCGACACTTTCAGCTGGAACTAAACCCTCCAGAAGGCACAACATCTGTCGTATTATATTGCTTTGAAGGACGTCGATGGTTAATGTCAGAATTTGAGTACTCCATGTATAAATCTGTAAATTTCATTAAACATTGGAATGTTAGGTTGATACATATTAAATGCTGTTTTCATAACTATCGGTTTGAGGGATTAATGATTTTTAGGTGGACGAAATAAAGCGCGTTAAAAAAACAGTTATTATACAACAACCGAATAATTATACTTGTCTTAATCAAGATGCACCTGCGCAAATGAATTTGTAAAGCATTCTTCAAATATTTCTTGTTCCGAAGGTGTCCTTGTCTTCAACCAGGCGGTCACTACCGGATTCCAGTCCAAACCAGAGGAGCTCATGTACACCATGCCGTTACGGGACACCGTAGCTGGACTCGCGTTGTCAATGTTATGTGGTTCGAAGATGATTTTACAAGCGGGAGCCATCGACAAACGATCACCGTTCGCTAGAGTCAGCGTTTTATTGTCGTCCAATACGGAATTCAAGTTCTCGATCCAAATACTGTCAACTGGTCCGTCCAAGACCATCCATACATGCTCCCCCTCTTTTAATTTCAACGTTTTACGCCACAGCGCTGAAAATATTCCGTCGGTCCAGTCATTCGTTGCTACGTCCAGACGACCAAACATTTGAGCAGCTGTTATGCTTTTCGGGTTCATCCTCATTTCTCTGTAAGGTTAGTTTAATTTACTTATTAATAAATAAAGTAAAATTAAGCTACTGTATTTATGATGGTCTTATGGAAATTGTATGCATAATCGTATAATATACTAGTTTGAAAACTATTTTCAAACCTTGTTTAGTGAAATATTTAAGAAGCTGTCAGCTTTTTAGCAATGAAAGCTGAAAATATTGATGACAACTCAATCAGACTAGCTACTGTTGAATCATGTCGAAGTTGAACGAGTCAGATGCAACTTCATGTCTCTAATCACTCTACTTTGTAATTAGTACCTTAATAACTCCATTATTTTTTAGGTTATTAAAAATTATTGACAAAATCGATTCCTTTGCTTAATAGAAGTATTTCTTATAAGGAACAAATTAGGTAGGCACGTTTTAAATAGTAAATCAAGCAGCATTGCTCAAAAGAATTAGAGGATTGCTAAGGTGAAAGCGAAAGAAACGAAACAAGTGCTGTATCTTTAGTAAATTGATGATTTTTCCGTTTAATAGTAACATCATTAGCACCTAGTTATATTTGTAGAAAAATTTCCCGGAGATTATATATCATATTGACGTACAGAGCGACTGCAATACGTGATCTTCTAATTCTTCTGAGCAGTGTACATTCGAAAACTCTAAGAGTTAACATGTTTGAATTGAATTACCTGTGAAAATCGCCACACTGCGTTAAAGCTTTCATCAGAATCTGTATACACGTTGTTTTCCCAGCGCCAGTTGGGCCGAGTGTCATAATTCCGTGTCTAACTCTCTGAGTTTCGTACAGTTGTATTAATTTCAGTACCCAAGGCGGATGATAGATTAATCCAGCTTCTTCGACTTGTTGGTTGATAGCAGCTTCCAATTCTGGGTACGATGTCTTCTCTAGAGCTTGATTAGGAAATAGATCCGCTACTAAGGAGATGAACAATGGTTCGTCCTCATCTGAAATTGATCCGGTGAGGAACTATTGCATGCAACTGACATTACTCGTCCAAGGCTATTACCACCATAATGGATTAAAATTTTACATAATTAAGGAAAAAGTAAGTAAAGTAAGGGATATAATAATTAAAAAAAACCTATGTACTTTGCATCTTCTTTTAGCATAATGGTAGATGTAACTGGCCGTTGAATGCTACTTCTTCTATTGTGATCCAAGATTCCATGTGATTTAACAAAAAGTGACTAGATTAGATGATACAGACATAAACATTTTTTCGATTTAAATCAGATAAATGAATTTGTCTTTTAGTAATGCATGGTATAAAAAAATGCAACACATTTCATATTAAAACTGTACATTTGGGGATATAGAATTCACAAACATATCGAATGACACCGTATTCACCTTGTATAAACCCATTGCGTGATTCACATAATGTGGATATAAAGGAGCAGTGGATACGGTTTTACGATCGTTTCATTGGCTGGCAATTTGCTTGTGTTTCTTCAACGAAAACAAAAAGATGATCTAACGAGTGAATAAAAGGGAATGGACGCGAGCATGGAAACTTATGTCAATTTCCACACTCGGGATTAAACGTGGGAATACTATACTTTTCAAATAGAATATACAATATTCTCTCCTTAGAATCACACTTTAACTATTTCCCTGTAATGAGTCTCCCTACAATGCTCATTACCACCTCTCTTTATCTCTGGCAAGGAGGGGTTATCATAAAACAGTAAGTAAGTCATATTCCACTGCTCTGTATAAATGAGTTGCAGGAATTAGATAGCTCGATTATAAGATAGGAATAATGTACACTGCTCGAAACATTTAGAAGATCGTGTATTGCAGTGGCTGTAATCACAATATGCCGTATAATCTCCGAAAATTTTGTTTATACAAATGTAACTATACCCTATCCAACGTTTCGGGTCAGTAACTATAAACAAAGAACGGTGATGTCCATTTAGGTGGGACAAGGACCGAGACAGTTGCCAGCCATTAGCTGGGCTTAGGACGCGGATGTTTTGATTGTTTTTATTCACTCGTCTCGCTGGACGAGCCATAGATTATAGATGTTTGTAGTGTTAGTATTGTGTAGAGAAGAAATCAATTTATCAAATCTATAACACTTGTTTTGTTTCTTTCGCTTGGTAGGTGCAATATGACCATCCACATTAGTGATCCTCCAATTGTTTTGAGCAGTGTATTTTATTTGTAGACTTTTATGAGGGGACCCTCCATTGGTTGAAGATGATTTTTCAATGGCCATGGATGTAATTGTTAATTGATGGGTGCAATTATTCACTGATTATAGTAACAGCATTACCTATGAGTTTCGACAGATTCATGTCCCTCAACACCCGCATCACAATCGTGCTTTCAGAGTCTTTTGAATTCACTCTCTTTGATGCCCCCAGAGTTCTCAGCACTGATAGTATGTTTCTTAGACCGAAATCGTAATGGACCTTTACATGTAAATGATATATTAAATGTTATAGAAATAATATGTACATTTGTTTTTCAGGGCAATCACCTGTTTGGTAAGTTGTTCCTCGCATAGTTTGTACAACGTGTAAAACTTTCGGGCTAGCGTGATATTTTCCAGGAAACCGCAGCTCGCTAATTTCACTCGAATGATGATCTGTCTGTCGGGCACCATCATGGCGACGGTACGGAATTGAATTTTCAGATTTTCTGGAAGCTCCTTCCTGCCAGCGTATCCAGGATTCTACAACACATACTTCTCAATACTAGCCTAAATGTCTTTCATATTCTTTTCTTAAGATGATCCTTATCTATCTAACAGTCTTCAGTTTTTACACATCTTACGTACAATCGAAGAAAAAAGTATTCTTAGCTTAGTGACGTTTATTACAAATTGACAATACCATTTTGATGGTAATATTAGGTTAAAAATGGTTTACTTCCAAATATACTGGAACAAGTTGAGCAAGCCTGATGGAGATAATTTTTAACCTGTTGTTATATTAAAAACAGTATTGCCAATTGATGGTAAAAGTCATTGGTAGTTGGATAGTTTTCTCTGCCATTGTATTTGTATATTGTTTCGAACGAAAAATCTTCTTTCCAGAAATATTCACTTCTCTTAATCTTTCGCATTAAAGTATTGTATTATAGAAGAACTCTCACATGAAGAATTTATGAGTGTTATTACCTAGCAACACAGTAATACACATTCGAAATTTCATTTTAATTTCAGTCTAATGTTAGCTAATCCATACGTAGGTAATAATTATTTGATTACCACGAAATAAGTAACTAGGACACTTGCTGAAAAATGTATACCTTCAATGTTTCAGTAATTTTTACCATTCGCAGTAGACATATGTCCAGAACCGAAGAAGTAAATGGAACACTATATACGCATGTACGCATCCGCTTATAAATATTAGGACACTTGCTGTACATATAAGCAGAAAATGTGGTATGTCATAAAAACTATATACATGTACTTTGCACCAAATTTGCTGCTGTATATTATTATAAATACAGCATTGTACATATATACATATACAGGGTGTTCCATTTACATATTTTGGAACCTAATAATGATACTAAAACAAAAATAGTTCTCTTTAAAAAACTACTCAGACAAAAATTGAATAGTTTAAAGGGGTACATAATGCGATGTAAGTGATTTTTTGGTAGGTGGAAGCGTAGAGGACATATGAAGGTCAACTTTGTTGTTTTAAATAGAATTATATTGCTGATTATTCCCTATCAAAAACTACTAAGCCACTTATGGCAAAAGATCATTAGTTTAGGAGACATGTATTTTAATTTCAAAATTAATATTAACGTCCTGTATATACAATATTTTTGCAAAACCTACAATAATTTCACAATTTCTATTCGTTTTTACATTATATTCGGTAAGTGTCCTCATACTTACGAGTTAGAGTGTACTGTTATATTACCATAGTTATGAATATTCCAAGCTCAGGACACATCTCAATCAGATCACCGTCGGTAAAGAGAAACTGCTTCTTCTTTTCTTTCTTCGCGGCAAGAACAACAGCAACTTGTTGAGCAGCGACGGAGAGAACCGGTAGTTCGATTCTATTGAATTCATCGAAGCAACCCCAAGAACCACTTTGCGCCAGACCTTTATAGATTCGTCCCAATCCTCTGTAATCCATTTGGTCGGAACAGTTGAAAACCACTACGTATTTGGCCAAAGTTTTCCCCATATCCTTGACAGTCTCTGTTTTTCCAGTTCCAGCTGGTCCACAGGGTGAACCGCCCATTGACATCGACAATGCTTGGGTCAGTGTTATATAACATCTGGAATTCCAAATGAAGAACATAAAAGAACAAACAGCGGATAAAATGAATAAATTAAAAAAAATTAAAAACTATTACTGAATATCAATATGTCGTAATTACCTGTCGGTTAACGGAGTAATGACGAGTCGTTCTGTACAGCCTAGATACTCATTCTGGTACGTGAAATTCACGTCTGTTATGCATATTGATGTTTTGTCGAGATCCTCTTTGAAGTAGAATCTGCATTGCTTCAGCCATTCGAAATCGTTCACTGATCGGATGTTCAAACGGCACTGTGGAGAATATTATCTTGACGAATGTATGTTTATTGTTATAGATGAATGACAAATTTTGTTTCGAACACATTCTACGAATAGAGGCGAACCATATTTTTGATATACATTAGGAAATAGAGTGAAATTTAAATTCTCGTGTTATCTATGTTTCTTATTTTTTTCGGGGTATGCAGTGTACAATTTTAATTCTTAGAATGTTTCACATTTCTTCAGTACTTGAATACGTACAAATTTTACTCTTAGAATGGTATAACAATGTTATTTAAAATAGTTCATTAAAATTCGTGGAAATAAGAACTAGAGCAACTGAAAACGTTTGATCTGATACCTTCATTGATTTTCTTTTCATGAATATTTATTTACTATTTTCTCAGTATTTTTTTTTACAAAATATTTATTTTTATTATTTATGAGAATATTTCGTATATGTACATCTACGTTAAATTATACCTTTAAATAATTTCGTGATATGAAACTGTTCGTTGAAAAGTAATCTCTATACAGAATTCAGATTCTGAAATTGATTTTAATAATTATTGCATAGTTATTATTTAAATAATCCCTACAATTTTATGAAATATCTACATGTTTCTCCAAAATCTAAAAAAACTTCAACTTTCCAAACTATTGTTTATACTTTTAACTTCAACTTTCCAAACTATTGTCTTTACCAATATGTCGAAGATATCACGCTGATGCACGTGAATAGTGATCAGAGTTTCAAACTTTGTCCTCTCGATTTTCGATAGATCCCTGGTGGTCTGATCGATCAACGTGTTGAGTAAATCAAGGAATCGGTTGTTCGTTTCCCCCATAATTTTTTTATCGGCGCGAGCTTGAGCCAGAGCCAATTCGCTATCCCTGGTCCAAATCATTTGTATTCCAAGCAAACCGATCTGAGCGGGCATTTTGTCCAGAAAACCAAGGAAATTAAAATTTGCATCGTTGATCATGGAATAACATTGCCGAATTATCGAGTGCAATGATTGCTGGGACGTTTGCAAAAGCTGTGTCAACCATGCTTCCACCGAACCTTCAGCTCTTACTGCCTTCTCGAGCTGTTTACAAAAAAGAAATTACTATACTTTTTTATAGTACACACTATCTAGATTTCAGAATGACTAAATGTTCTTAACCCTTTAATTCTCAGTGTTGTAGTAATGCAACCATCATTTTAAAAGTGTGCCAAATTCTGTCACCGGACAATATCTTTGTCAGTAGTTACAGTATGTGCGCGCACCTCCTGCTCGACGATAGCAACACAACACAAGCAAGTGGTGGGAACTGGTGTTATTGTTTATGTGGCCCCACGGGCGAATGTTCGGCCAGGCCTGATATATTAGTCTCATAATTTTGAAATAACGATTTAACCCCTTGCCGTACCTTTTAACTCCGAAGAATTCGGGCCCAAGCGGTGCCCATAGACATGTATAGACGGAGCATAAGCTACCACTTTGGGCGAGGGGACCGTAGGATTGGAGGGGAAAAGGCAGCGGTCGTTAGAGCTACGTCGGTTAGCTTCGGATGCATTCGGTTCGATTCGGCTCGTTGTTAATGGCTGGTGGGCTGTGTGCCGTACTATTATTTAATGCTTTATACTATTTATTAATTTTGTTAAATACATACATCTATACAAACTACATGACACACGGAATTTTTAACGTATAATAGGTATATTCTTTTCATCTCTCATAGCATACATGTATGTAACGTGATTGTATACCAGAATAGCACCGAAAAGGAACGAAGTTACCCGATTTACTACTGCCCACCCCCTTACCGCGAATCTTACTCCCCCGCTCAGTTAATGCTCCGTCTATATGTATATGTCTATGGCGGTGCCCAAAAATGTTCGCGAAAGGAGCCGAAGCGGCGGAGACATTTTGTCGGAACTTGAAACAAATGATATCTTGCGACTATCTGCGAAGTCACGAGGTCGACTCGTGACATTCATATTTGGTTCGAACTTTTGAATACGAGTCAGATTCGCGATATTTATGTTTGACATGATATTACGACTATGAGCCTGACTCGCAATGTTTACGTTTGGCCGGAAATTCTCATCACGAGTCAGACTCGTTAAAGTACAACAAGGGGTTCACGGTCTGGACGTTAAAGGGTTAATCATGCTCCTTGTGAAATTACTCAGTTGAATTATAAATAACTTTCATCATAGAGCGTGAAAAACTACGAAATTGCGCTTGAATAAGAATTTGCAAAATTTAAAGTTAAATGAAATTATTAAGTTATATAGTGGTACAAGATATGTAATGGATTGATTATTAATTGTGAAGTATCTCGAACCAACGTGAATTTAAGAAATGGGAAACGGAAGTTGTTTATGAATATACTTAATATGATTTTTCAGTATAACACGTACCAAAATAGTTTCACCTTCAGATGATATAATGGCGGTCATCTTGTTATATTCGATATCGTGAAATTTAACATAACGCGTGTTGTCGAATATCGAAAGTAAGTGATTCTGTATCGTATGGGAATCAGACGCTTGTCCAAGAATCTCCAGTAAAGCGGGATCAGATACGAAGAAGAATCTTGGGAACATCATCCGCTTTTTTTCCAAATATCTGTAATTTTAGTTATGATTAAGTCGCTTGGCTGTAAACTTAGAAAAAATGTACTATTATTCTTCTAGTTACTTAAACTTGAATAGCGGGTTAAAATTTATATAAACTTCATCAAATTTCTTCGTCGTTAAGGTATTATCTTCATCATAGCACTTTGGTTACTTTCTACGATATGATTTATAATTATCGAAACAGTTTTCACTACTGTTATTAATTAAAGACTGTATGTATAGAATATATATTTATATTCTATGTATTTTTATTTGAATAGTATGTGTATAAAATAGACATATATGGAATACATAGAAAAAACATTATACAGGGTGTAACATAAATGTTGTTCGACCTGGAAATGGGACACTCGAGGAGCGATTTGGAATAAGTTTTTCCTTAGCAAAAATGTAATCGGAGACTTTATTAATGAGATATTAACAAGAACCTCCGATCAATCAGCGTGTAACTCGGCCGGCCGAGCTCCTGCGGTAGTGTTAGCTAGGAGCTGCGCTTGTACTATGAACAAGCAGGTATGCAGACATTGAAGGGAAAGGCGTACAATAGCAAATGAAAATATAGGGAAATGAAAAGTTCGATTTTATTTGTTACATCTTTTTCATTTGCTATTGTACGCAGTTCCTGCGATACATGTCGATTTGCTTGTTCAGAGCTTCGTAGCACAAACGCGGCACGTAGCCAACGCTACCGCGGGAGCTCCGCTGGCAGACTCGCACGGTGATTGGTCAAGGTTTTTCGTTAATATCTTGTTAACAAAGCCTTAGGTTACATTTTTGCTAAGGAAAAACTTGTTCCAAATCGTCCACGAGCGATCCAGTTCAGGGTCGAGCAAGATTTTTGTTACACCCTGTATATTATATACATACACGGTGTGAGACAATAAGAACTACTATCCAAAATAACTAGCATTTTAAGGGATGCATCGAATGGATACAGTTTGAGATATGAAGGTGACCTTGAGTTTTTTCAAAGTTAATGCATCTTTTTTAATACCACGTTGTTGCCAATATAAGGACAAATTTAACGCCCTATAGCATGATTGTATTAAAAAAAGATGCATTCACCTTGGAAAAATTCAAGGTCGTCTGGATATCTAAAAAAAATAAAATATAATGAAATCAAATTGTATCCATCCTGCGATAAATGCTAAATAAGTTAACGATTCCAAATGGAATGCTGCGGTTGGACAGGGTTAATAATACAATCTTCAGTACACATTTCTTCGTACGTTATGTTTTTATAGTAAAATAAATAAAGTGGCAGTATTAGGGACACTTAATCTATCATACAACATACAGGCATATATAATATTATTTTAAATTATAATGTAAAAAACATAATTCCTCGACATTGTCCAGCAATAATTATGTTTTTTACATTATAATTTAAAATAATATTATATATGCCTGTATGTTGTATGATAGATTAAGTGTCCCTAATACTGCCACTTTATTTATTTTACTTAATAAAAACATAACGTACGAAGAAATGTGTACTGAAGATTGTATTATTAACCCTGTCCAACTACAGGATTCCATTTGAAATCATTAATTTATTTAACATTTATAGTTCATATCATGAACCTGAAGATTCAATATGGCATCGTATTGTATATTATAATTTTTTGCTGTTAAACGAAGAACTCGAAAATATCATTCTGTACCCGAAGATGTTACAGGACCCGAATATGTTTCCATTTCTCCTAACCCGACCCGATCCCGAAATATCGGGTACCCGCACACCCCTGATATTAACTATATACCCACCCACTCAGAGATTTCTGGCACAATTCCAGTTGCTCCTGCAAATGCGGTAACAGTTGCTTCAACAAATCATCCCCCACGCAGCAAGGTACGACCCCAGGTGTCTCGTGAGCCCTTTGCATGATCTTCTGCCAGCTCTTATCAATCTTACTGAATCTCTTCGCTTCTTTCGGCAGCTGTTTCGCTATGTCACCACCAACGAACACCGCCTCGAGGTATACCCACATATTCTGGACCAGTAACCATCTTTCCAAGATTTCGTTCGTGTTTGTCAGATCCGTGAGCCACTGTTGTATCTGTTTCCGGAATGGCGCGTTGTATCTGTTCGACATCAACGAGCCAAGTACCATCAGGCTGTCCTCCAGTTGACCTATCGTCTCGGCGGTGGTGTCACCTCTTAGCAACAATTCCCCTCTGTTGTTGAACGTCATAAACGTCAGCTCGTGGGACGACCATTCGTTCACGACCGTACGTAACTTCGCCTCGATGTCCTTTTCCTTCATCGCCGAGATGCAGATGTCCTCGATGTCCTCCTTGTACTTCAACAATGGCGCTTCGAGAATGTTCTTCAGGCAGAAGCTCTCGCTTTCCAGGTCGAACGTGTAGCCTGTCATCTCCACGATCCTGTGCCAATGCCGCGGCTTCATCGCTTTGTTCGCCATTAATTCGAGGAGGGGGCACATATCGTTGAAATCGTCGATGGTCTTTTTCAGGGCAAAGAACGCTGGCCACTCTTTCAGGCCCTTTGGCAGTTTGCGGCAACGGTTTTGGAATTCCATTAGCTCGTTGTTTATGTCCTCGATATTCACCTGAACAGTAGTTTAATTTTTCTTTTTATATGGGGCATCTTGTGAATTGTGGTTGGTGATCTTTCTTTTGTGTAATAAACAGAACCTTAATTGATACAATCTGTTGATTACATAAAGATCAATGGAAAATATTATGTTTTTATAGTAAAGTGCATATGGAGTGAAATGTCTTTTTCTGCATTGATGTAGAAATAAAATCATAATATCATTCTTTTTACACTGGATAATTCTTAATTAACAAAGTGTCCGCTATAAGTGCACGAACAAATTAAACTTACTTTACGTAATTACAGAAAATATAGTTAAAACTGTAAAGTCGTGAATTTATGCAGATGGCTTTTTTATTACCCACTGCACAATAGCTTGAACGTTCCGTATGAAAATCGTACTTTGCTAATTAGTTGCTAATATCTTAGTTATTTCATCGGAAATACTTTACCTCGCCCCAAGGGATATCATAGTAGCTGTTGACTCTGTCAATGACATCATTGTACAGTTTGTACAACTTCTGCAGGAGATTTAGCTCCTTCCTGATCTGTGACAGTTCCGGATAATCCGTGATTGGCAGACCGAAAAGTTCTTCGCCGCTTTGGTACGTCTGTAGTTTCCTCCACATACCGTCAAATCGATTCTGGAATAGAATCTGTCTATCGGACGCTTCTCGGGGACTCAGGCCCGGTTGCATCGGCCCCGAGGACCTGTATTCCTCGCAGTACATCTCGTTGTCGAGTCGGAACTTTTCCAGATTGTTCCGGAGGTCCTCTTCGAACTGAGGTTGCAGTCTCAACAGCAACACGTGACTGTTCTGTGCTCGCATGAGCAGCTGCTGCCATGTGTACCTCAAGTTGTCTACCTGTTCTAGACATTCTTGGTCCACTGGCACTTCGTATCTGGTCACTATGTTAAAAGCTTCTTCAATTGGATCTATTTTCAGCTCCATGTCCACTTCTTGCTCGCGAACCTTTTTCAGGGTGTCCATGATTAGTCGAACATCGTCTAGGTCCCGAATCTGACGGTCCAGTTTCCGTTCCATTTCGTTCATCAGGGCGTAGACGTATTCCATTTCACGTCGATATTTCTTCTTCATCGCTTGGCCAATTTTGTGAGTGCACGCTGAGGATATACAGTGAAGAGAATTTCGAATTAAAAAACTGTTTGCTTATGGCTGTAGGCTAGGCTGTGAATATAACGATGTAAGTTACAATAACACGTAACAACTATATAATGAAGCTTCATCAATCAGTTGTTAGGTATTCAGTCAACTCTAGCTCTCCTCTTAATACAGGAAAAGAATTCCTGTTTAGTTTCAGTATTTAGTCATCGATTTTTGTTTTTGCTATTTACAACTATATACAGAGATCAACGAAAATATCTGATGTACCAACAAGCAATCCAAGTTTTTTACAATAATCTAGTGATGTAATACAGATAATATATTTTTTATCTTCTTCTTGGTTGCAATTGTATAGGTTGTTACGAGAGGAGATGACTGACTAGGTTAACACAAGAGTTTTTTTTTTAATTAATGTTAACTTCGACAGAACACTTTGAATTATACATTAGCGAAGCTAATTTTTGAACGATTTAGTCCAGAGCTGCGCAACTCGTACACGAGCAGCAGCGACTCGAACTTCCCCTCTCTGGTACCCACTATGGTTCTCAGATTGACTTGCTCGAGTTGTGGCAGGAAGACTATTGGAGGAGACACTCGAGTGAGTCAATCTGAAGACCCTAGTGGGGGTAACTCGGAAGGAACTGTTCTAGAAATCGAGTCATTGCTGCTCCTGAGCAATCCGTTGCTGCAGCTCTGATTTACAATTAGTCAATGACCTGTTATACGAGTTATGACTCGTCTTAATATCTGTTAAAAAGTGGCCGTAAAAGTAATTATAGGTTTATAAAAAAAAAAATTAAAGCTAACTTTGAAAACATAAAAAAAATGGACTCTCAAACGTATTACGCGATAAAAAATAAATTTCGATCGGCCCACTAGCAGCAGATAAATTTAAGGTGACCATGTTAGGCGGTTCACCCTGTGTACATAATAATAAATTGAATATATTGTAGATTAGATATATTGAGACGTATTTGTTAGATATCCAAGAATCAATGCAATTTTTTAGAGTTCCAGAAATGAATGCTGTAAACAAGATTTATAAAGCACAATACATCGAAAGTATTCAACTGCCTGTAGACTTATTACTTTGTAGTCTTATTGTTAAATGAACTTTTCTAATTACTTTTGATTTCTGTGTATAATCCATATTTCAGTTTCTCAGTAGATATGGCAATAGAGGTGCCGAAAATAATCATATCCGGCTCAGTCGCCAGAAGATCTTCAAGTTCACTGTGTTTTCGAAGTGTGGCTTCGAATTCCGGCAAGGAAATTTGTAACAATTCCCGCACGCTTCGTTCGTTTTTCCAAAGAAATTTGTAAGGCTTCCATCGATCAATAAATTCTGCGAGATTCTACGACAGTAGTAGACGTGTTATTTTTGAATAAATAATACTTGTATTCAGTCTCTCGAACATATGCTTCAAATTAATTGTTATGAAAGTAATACATTTCTTATTTTTAAATAAATGAAATTTTACTGCTGTTCTATTTCCCAAAAATATGTTGACAATTATTACTATGAAAATAATGCATTTATTATTTGTATACAAATGTAATTTCACTGTTAACCAATCCCCGTAAAATATTTTAAACAGAATTACTTGTTTGAACTCCATCATGCACGTGTTCAGTATGGACAACAGTTTTATTATTTCTTTATTATCCATCACCATCTCGTAGAAATTTTGTTCTTGAACGGGGAAAATTGGTCTTTCTTCGGAGATAATTTTGTATAGTCGTCGCCTTCTGATTTTTGGATCCTCAGGCTCCTCTTGTCTTTTCTTTGCAACGTGCAACTGAGCTCGCATTACTATATCCGCGAAGCTCCTTGGATAAGCGTGTCCCCAAGAATTCTGATCAGGAAAATAATTTAAAGAATAATGAAATATAAAAATATTTTTGTTCCACGCGAAAATATGGCAAATAATTTTATGCATAGAGCGGAAATGATTTCACATTAGAATATTGCTTAAAGAATATTGTTAATAAATAATACATTTGGTATAGAATACGCATAAAGAAGTATTCGTAGCCATCATTGCTTCACTGGTACTATTGTATTTATTTTGATATTTGCTTTTATATTTTCGAAATCTGTTTGACAATCAAAAGATCGACTAAATAATAATAATTATCAGCACTAATTTAATAATAATTATGTATTTAGATTTGAATATCAGATTGTCACCTTATTGACTCTCGAATTCCATTGCGAAACTCCTTTTGCGACGCCACCAATCGTTTTTCCAACTAATGTTAGGACCTCTTGGACGTCGTCTAAACTAGGCTTCACAGTGACTACTGGTATCATCAGGGTTGCGTGTAGTAGGAATATTGGGCTTGGTGTCTGTTCTTTTTCGAAGATTATAATTAATTCATTTATCTGTCTATAAAGTCTCAAAGACAACATCTACACGAGGGTTGGACGGCTTTTATGTGGAATAAAAGTATCAAATAAAGACGACAAACAATTACTCAAATGAAAGTAGCAAACAAATTCACTAGGAGTGAATTGTAAATTGTAGATTTCTATGTTTTTATATCGTACGAACTCAATAAAATCGAGAAATACTGTAATTTAATGAAATACGAGTAATTTTGTACAAACATCATATTGAAGTGACTATTCTGACGTAAAAGTTTTGGAAGCTCATTTACAGGATTGAAGCGAGAAAAATGACAGACGACGACTGTTTTTTCCATATTATAAATAACTGAAAAACTGTGAATTTTCAGTTATGTCATTGTTGCAACAACCCAGTGATATATATCGTTCTAAATACGTAATTTTTTAGAAAACGTCTAATATTTTCATTTTTCCTAATAAAATCAAATAACAAATGCATGAATTCCAAATAAAGTAACACTTGAATAATACCAGCTGAACTAATCGAACAGAGAAAATAGTAAATCAGATACAAGTTTTATTTAAATAAAAGTTCACCTCGATACCGTTCAGCCCTGATTTAGATTTTATTGGAAGAAGATGAATACCTAGATCGATATCCCGAATAAAACGCTTCCTGATAGCATCTAACGAGGTCCTGGTGACCTTTATCAGTACATCTACGACTTTCCTGGAGTAATATCTTCTCATCTCTGACACAGCGTTTCGCACCATCTCTTGCATTCCCTTCGGCAAACTACCGGGTGTTATCAACAATTGATGAGGGTCGTCGAAGAAATTCCAAACCAAAGACCAGTCTTGTTGAATTGTTTGGTCTGCATCTTCTTCAGTTTCTGTGAGTTTGTTGTAAGATAAATTGAAAATTTGAAATTATAGATTCCGAGACATGAAAATCACACTATAAATTACGAATAATAGCTATAATACAATAATACAATTTTTGAGCTTTCAGCTTTCTTTATTTAAATGTTTTCGTGATGCATTTCTTCTTTATTTCCTTCTACTAGTTACTATGTATTTTAATTTGTAATTTCATTTTAGAATTTGTTTTTTTAGGCATGTACTTTAGTTATTTATAAGTACCTTTAGAGATCTGTAACATTTTTACATAATTTTCTTTAACTTTTGTGTAATTAATCTCTTAAAAATTCTGTAGGTAAATTGCATTAATTATTGTACTTTCTAGTCTGTATGATCCTTTTTAGGAGCTTACAATAATATTCGTATTGGAAATATATTTAATTTTGCTGCACAATAGGAAATGTATAGACTAGAAACTATAAGAGAGAAATTTGAAACATAAAGTCGTTTTCATACTTTTGATCGGTATTGTACAGTGTCGTAATTAAAAAAGGGAATGTATTTTTGAGTTTACATGTTACGTATAAGGAAAATAATAATAATAATATTTTTGATTGGAGATAATGTCAGGCATCACCTTCGTTGTTGAAAAAATCGAAGTGACTAGAATTAGCGGCGCTTTTGAAGTTCTCAGCGGCGTTCTTAACGAGACCGAGTACTTCCTCTACTGCCTCTTCCACCATCATACTTTTACGATATAAATCTACCGCTGCGAGTCTGCATATTTCTTCCGTTTTCTCCACGAACTTCTCTATCGTCCAAGCCTGATCGGACTCCGGCAGTGAATGTAAGGTGATTTTTTGCATACTTGTCAGCACTTCCAGAATTCTTGTAACAGATAGATTTGTTTCTTAAAATATTCAATTCACTTATAGTGTATCAACGTTCTTAATGACACTTGAATCTTATTGTCTCCGATGTGAGTTTAAAAGCAACTTTAAAAACCAACGAAAATGTATATTATGAAAAATTACTAATCGTGTTAATTTCTTTTTAGTTTTCTCATTTTTTGCTATTCCAAATTCGAAATAAATATCCAATATAAGTTAAAATGAAATTTATAATAAAAGATAATGTTTTAATAGGTACGGAACAATAATTGTAATCACCATAAACAAATCTGTTTTTATCTATTTTAAAGTAGGTAATTATATTTCTGTTAGGAAAAGAGGGATACGTGAAGGCTGCGATATTATCGTCTCTTTATTATTAGAACTATAATCTATGTATATATATGAAGGATGAGTGTAATGGTGTTAGAGTGCGTGTAGCGTAAATGGAACGACTGCAGGATGTAAGAATGCGTGTGAGAGGGCGAATGCCCTAATGTTTAGGTTAGAAGATAAGAGGCATGGACGGTTGGTGAGAAGACAACCGCGAGACGAGAGTCAGTCGATCTCTAGCAACCGAGAAGCACCGTGTCAAAACCTTTTTTTTTTTTGTTATTCTTTTACTTTAATTAAATGTTTTTGTTTCGTTTAATACTGGACTTATTTACAACCCCTCATCCTCACTAAAAAGAATCCCACATATACAATATACATAGATAGTATTTCAGAAAATGTCATTTTACATAAAAATCCACAATCTACTGATCATACAGATCGTGGAAACTTGAAAATCTTCAATCTTCTAATCCCTTACCTGTTATCGTACACATCATGAACTCTCGTGATAAGAATATCAAACTCCTCGATCTGTTGCTTTGTGTTCTGATAAAAGTTCCTCCATCCTGGATTGGTCCAGGTCAGAGAAACTATCCCAGGTTCCAAAAGAGACGCGACACGAACCAAATGCGGCAACAAAAGTGGCCTGACTTCCAGTTTTACGCGTTTTGCCGTAGAAACGAACTTGTCGATCATCAACTGAAGGGAGTCCGTGATCAAGGTGAAGTGAGACTTCTTCGCCAGAAGCGTCAGCGCGACGATCGGAATTTCCAGGTTCAATTTGGCCAAACAGTCAGCCTCGCGAAGCAAAAGGGCAACGCGTCCGTCCAGGTTCACTTTAATTTTGTCCGTTTCTTCGTCTACCACCAGCAAAGATCTAACACGTTATAATGAAATGGAATTGTTCATTCGAGTCGACTTGGGGATGAAGGATGACGATCGATTTACCGTTTCAGGGAATCCTCGATCACCCAGCAATTTTGATGTGTCCAGACTTCAGCGATATCTGACTTGTACTGGTTCAGGACACTGAGAGCGTGGTTGTATCGTTTCTCTAATTCCACTGTCAACGGGAGAGTTTTCAGCACGGGATGACTGAAAACTGATGCCGCCAGTTCGTCGAGATGAACTCTATAACAAGCGAATGAGAAAAAAAGGATCGAATTGGATATTGTGTAGAGAGTGTTTAAAAAGAAACATCCTAACTCTGAAATATGTTATGTAGGAGAATCAGAACCTTCGAGCGTTCGAAGCGGGTGTTCGGTTTTAGTTAGCGACGGAGCCCAGGAAGAGAAAGCGATAGAGAATGGAGGGTGTCATAAATTGACCTTTTCCCGGTATTACGTCGTGGGGCAGAGGACTGTCTTGCGACTGCAACACAGGACTGGGAATTTTTTGTAGAATCCTCAACGTGAACGGTCTGGGTTAGGTTATTACTAATTAGGTCCTCCCTGTGTGGCGGGGAATAGAATACGCCCACGGTAATCCTTGCCTGTCGTAAGAGGCGACTAAAAGGGACTGTTGGGATCGCGGGACTGTGGCACCCGCGGTCCGGTGGGGGGGGG